TTATATACTATGTTTAGCTAGGGTTCCCATAAAACCCTAATTAGGTTTAGTATCCGGTTTCCACTCATTGAGCCCATATAAGATATTGAGTAGTCTTGGACTCCATAATTTGACCACTTATTATTAACCCATTTTAACAAATAACTAATACAATTATTATCTCATAAACCACAACCCACATGACGTGGAACATATATTTCCAACAAATTGTACTTAATTAAAACCTTATTAAAGAATAGAAGGGAAATGAATGATGATTAATTCCCTTGAGAAACCATGAACCCAATCCTCTTCAGCTAGGGACAAGAAGAAAAAAAATGGAAAGAGGGATTTGTTTTAGGTAAGCTATCCATCAAGTCACGAAAGGTTTTGATGCTGATAAATCAATTTTTCATGATCCAAAATATGACTTTTGATTATCCAACTAATTAACCATAATAATTTTCCAATAACAGAAGATTCTAATGATGATCTTAAACAAGAAAGCTGCCATTAGGGCAGAGACAAAGAAAACAAAAGTACAGAGGTCACATGTGACAACCTTTTTTTTTCCTTCTCATAACGTTTTGGATTGAAATGTGAATATCAGCTTTTGTACTTTGCTTATGTTAATTAGCTAAGCTTCTCCCCATTTTTTAGGGAAACTTTTTCAAGAAAAAAACAAGAAGAAAGTAACAAGAAATTATTAAGACAAAATTGTGTCTCAAATGGGGCCGCTTTTTATCCCAAACCCAACAAACCCGGCCCATTGCTTTGGCCCACCACCTAAACAAGAAAAATACAAATAATAATTATTTATGAAAACCACGATTTCCTCCTCCTGAGTGTAGAGGAAAAGAACAGAGAACAAATTCTCTTCGGAAGAAGTCAGAAACAAAAGTATACATTAGACAACAGTAGCTGCCTACCTTTTAAAGAGGAGATAAGAATACAAACCAAGGTTACCAAATTTTGAATTAGTTCACAAGATGAGAGGGGATGGACGGCAGTGGATTATTACGATATCTCAATATTCATATCATGTTGGATATAGGTTAAGATGAGTAGTGTGTATAGGGGTGTCAAATCGGTTTTGGGTTTTCGGTTTAACCCGAACCCGAACCGATAGTGAGGCTTGTCGGGTTCTCGGTTTCAGCTCTCAAGCGGTTTCTTCGGTTTCGGTTTCAGTGGAATCCGAAAAACCGATATGGACCCGAATGACCCGAAATTTTACATGGTGACGTTTTGGTTTCTTTTTGCAGATCCCCTTCACTTCTCATTTCTCAATCGACAATCCCTTTGCCAACTGTACCCTGAAGCGCAGCTGCACACATCGCTAACCCCACCTGCAGGCTGCAGCGCTTCGCCATTGCTTCGTCGGCGAACTCTTCCTTCCCCTCAATATCGAAGCTTTCCCAATCGCTGCATATGGGTAGTGCAACCCTTCTTCGATCTTGTTTTAGGGTTTCCTGACTACATCAATTGCTCACCTGAATTCATCGCCTCAGTTCCTGGCTTTCAACAAGTAATGATCCCCAATGGGGTTGTCGCAAGGGTTGGGATGGGAGCCGGTGAGGAGAAGAATTCAAGGTTTGTCGTTTACGGAGCCGGGGAATTCGGGGTTTTGGGAGAGACATACCTTACGCTGTTGATCCCAGCCGAGAATTTTGGGGCCGAGGGCGTAGGTGTCGTTGAGGGAGAGGAATTGGGGCTCGTCGGTGGAGCCGGCATGGTCGTTGGGGTCCTTGTCGGAGCGGATCTCGGCGAGGACGCGGTTGGTCTCTTCGATTAGGTTTTGGTTGACGGCGTTGGCTTCGGAGCTGGATAGGTTGCCGATCCCGATTGTGCCGCGGAGGACGAGGATGGTGACGAAGCCGTAGAGGATGGTGATCTTGATGTTGTTGAAGGTCTTGTGGATCTGCCTGGCCCGTGGGATCATTGTACGGGCGGCGGCCCTGCCGTTGGCGGTGGTGGGTAAGGCTGAGGCGCCGACCTAATTTCTCCCCTTCAATCTTCATTAACTAACGGTTCGGTTTCGGTTTCACCCGACCCGATCCGAAACCGCCAACATATTTTTGGGTTTCTGTACCCGAAACCCGCAAGGTATATGTTCGGGTTCGGTTTTGGGTTGTGTGGTCTCGATTTCGGTTTTTCGGGTTTTTCCGGGTTACGGGTTCGGCTACCCGAACCGACCCGAACGGACAGGCCTAAGTGTGGATTTGAGTTATTGAGCTCTTGAGCTTACTTATTTATTGAGTATGAGTTAAGTGCTCTGGCATTCCTAGAGAGTGTTGAAGATAACTTTAGTTAGGTAGAAATAAAAGAAGGAAGTTGTCACTTGATGAAATGCCTCACATTTTCAACAATTACGAAACAATCAGAATGACGGGCGAGCTCTAGAAGAGGTCACACTCCAAAACAAAAATGTTGGAGAAGTATGCAAAGAATGGAGTTATACGTGTTAACTAATCTGAAACAGAGATATAATCGAAACGTATGTAATCGAAACAGAGAGATACAGATTTACGTGGTATCCTCAACGTATGATCGTTGAGACTAATCCACGGCACAAAGGCGATTTTGGTGTTTCTTATTATCTCCAAAATGTGGTACATGTTACATATATACATATTCCACAAACCCTAGCCGTGAAAGGGAGGAGGAGAATCGGCCTAGGTTTTGGTACTAGGCCTACGTACACACTACGTGCATGTACATGTGCATGGGCTAAAAGCCCATCACTCAACAGCCTCCCCCAAATTGATGGAGGTCTCGCATCATCAATTTGGCAGCGAGATAAGAGTGGCGACTAGACGTGAAGGCCTTAGTTAAGAGATCAGCAATCTGCTCCTCAGACGAGATATGAAAAAATCGGATCGTACCATCATTAACAAGGTCTCTGATGTAGTGAACATGTACCTCAATGTGTTTAGTGAGATCATGAAGAACGGGATTGGTGGCAATCCGAATTGCACTCGTATTATCAACATAGAGCTGCATGGGAACCGCACACTCGACACCAAGCTCACCAAGCAATCTGCGAATCCATTCTAACTTAGAGGTGACTTCAGACATAGCTCGATAATCAGCCTTTGTAGATGATTTAGAAACCCGTTCCTGTTTCTTACACTGCCAAGATATAAAAGAATCAACTAATCGGACACACCATCCACTAGTCGAGCGGCGGGTATCAATACATCCTGCATAATCAGAGTCGGAGAAGGCTTGGAGTACAAATGAACCTGTAGCCGGAAGAAACAATCCAACACTATGTGTTCCCTGGAGATAGCGCAGAATCCGATGTACCGCATCCATATGAGCAGTACGAGGAGCGGACATAAACTGACTAACGATCTGAACTGCATAAGCTATATCCGGACGGGTTGAAGTCAAATAAATTAAGCTGCCAACAATACTCCGATAATGTTTACCACCATCACTCAACAAAGTGCCTGTTTCCCTCCCCAGCTTCAGGTGAAGCTCCATAGGAGTAGAGACAGGAATACAGTCGGAATATCGAGAAGAGTCGAGGAGATCATCAATATACTTTTGCTGAGTAAGATGAATACCTGCAGGAGACCGATGAACGTCCAGACCAAGAAAGTAAGACAGGGAGCCCAACTCCTTTAAGCTAAACGACTAGTGAAGGCCCTGAGTGAGGGCCGAAATACCCTCGGCATCGTCCCCACTGACGATCATATCATCAACATATAAGAGAAGCACCACGATACCCCGAGGAGAGCGCCTTGTAAACAAGGAGGGATCATTACGACTCTGTTGAAAACCAAGACCCAGAATAGTAGACTGGAACTTCTCAAATCATGCACGCGGTGCCTGCTTCAAGCCGTAGAGAGAACGATGGAGCAAACACACCTTATCAGTACGATTGCCATGCGGATAACCATGAGTAATCTCCATATACACCATCTCCTTGAGATCACCATGCAGGAAAGCATTCTTGACATCAAGCTGATAAAGAGGCCACTTTCGAATGGATGCAACAGCCAGGAGCGAACGAACAGACACCATCTTTGCCACAGGGGCAAAGGTCTCCTCAAAATCAATACCATGTACCTGCGAAAAACCTTGAGCCACCACACGTGCCTTGAAGCATTCGAGAGAGCCATCCGGTAAAAATTTCATATTATATACCCAACGACTGCCAATAACCGGGACTGGTGGAGGAAGACGAGGGACAATAGACCATGTCTTATTGGCGTCAAGAGCATCAAACTCGGCACGCATGGCACCATCCCAGTTTGGGTCACCCTGGGCCTGAGAAAACCGAGTAGGAATTGGGATCGATTCAACACTGTAGGCAACATAGTCTTGGAAACGAATCGGTGGCTGACCCAAAGTGGACCGGTTGGACCGGTGCGGTTGAGGGGGAGACGGTGGAGGAGACTGTGGAGGCGTCGCCGGGGGGAGGGAGCATCGAGTTGCGGACCAGGATCAGTAGCATCGTCATCATCATCATCAGGAAAGGAAGGGAGACCTAACGACTCATCAAACAAAGGGAGACTCGACGAGGTGGACGAATAGAACATAAAATTTTCAAAAAACACCACATTGCAGGCAATCCTAAGACGACGAAGATCAGGATCATAATAGAGATAGCCCTTATAGATATCACTATAGCCGAGAAAGGCACAACGCGCCATTTTGAAGTGAGTTTAGTACGTTCAGAACGGGGAAGAAGAACAAAACAAAGACACCCAAAGACTCGAAGACGGGAATAGGGAGGATGCTTCGAGAAAAGACGATAGAAAGGACTGGTATTATCTAGGAGAGGAGTGATCTGGTAGTTGATAAGCCGGACGGCAGTGGAAACAACTTCGGGCCAAAAAGACGTGGGAACATGGGATGCTAAAAGAAGTGCTCGAGTGACTTCAAGCACATGATGATTCTTTCGTTCAACTAAGCCATTCTGCTGAGACACACCAGGACATGATTTATGGGTAAGAATGCCCCGGGATTTGTATAGGTTAAGAAGAGGGGATGAACTAAACTCACCACCGGGATCAGAACGGACTACACGGAATGTTCTATCAAACTGAGTCTGGATCATGGTGAGGAATTCAGTGGCAACAGTAAGAAGATAAGATTGGAGGCGCAAAAAATATACCCAAGTATAGCGAGTAGCATGATCCACAAATAAGGCAAAATATTTGTAACCATGACTGGAAGTAACACGACTCGGACCCCACAGATCAGTATGGACCAAATGAAAAGGTTCAGCAATAATAGTAGTACTCGAAGGGAAAGAAATCCGAGTTGTTTTAGCCTCCACACAACTGGTACACTTAAAATCCAAAATAAGCCCAGGTGAAGGAGATTTACCTAACAAATGTTGTCGAACATAGTCTCAAGCCGATGAGAATTAGGATGACCTAACCGAGAATGCCACAACTGAAAATTTTGTTCACCCAGACTCGAAAAAACAGGAAAAGGAGACACCCTAGACACCGAAGGAGAGCTTGATGATGATAATTGTGAGATGGGCAATTTAGAAGTCAGCTCATCCAGCTCAAATATGCGGCCGCGCTTGCTACCCCTCCCGAGCTCCCTCCCCGTCGTCAGATCCTGAATAACACAGCCAGACGGTGCAAAAACAACACGACAACCTTGTTCAGTAAGTTGGCCAACAGACACCAAGTTAGGAACAAGACAGGGAACATGCAGAGTATCAGGTAAATGAACATGAGAACTATTAACCGAACCAACACCCTTAACCTGAAGCTTAGCACCATACGCAACTTGTATGGATAAATCATGAACAGGAGAAAGATACTTAAGCACAGAACAATTACTGTTCATATGATTAAAACATCCCGAATCCAATATCCAGGTAGGAATCTTACCCGACATTTGTAGGCTCGCAAAGGCAGAGGAGATAGCCTTATTCACCATTTGTTCCAAAGTAGCCGAGGTCACCAGCACCCCTTCAGAATTGGGAGCTATCGCTGCCGCATGAGTGGATGATGTCGTCGCATAAGCTGGCCGAGCAGGAGGTGCTGGCGCTGCAAGACTGGAACCACGAAACCCAGCGCTACTGCTCTCAGCGCCGCCAGCAGCTGAAGTCCCTCCCGCCATGTGTCGTTGAAGAGTGCGACATTCAGCAATGATATGGCCTTTCCTTTTGCAATAAACGCAAATGTTACGAGCTTTACAATACTTTTGGGTATGTCCGCGTTCCTTGCAGTGGTGGCACTCAACTTCAGACAAGTTTGGCCGCTGAAATTGAGGGCGATAAGCAGCGAATGCGAGAGCATCAGAACCGGCGGGAAAAGAACGGCCAGCAGCAGCCCCGCCAGGGAGAGAGCTGAACGCGGCGACATCGCCATGACCCGGGCGAGCATCCAGATTGGCTTGCGTTCGAAGACGGGTCTCTTCGCGAATTAGGCTGCCAAGAACTCCTTCAAATTGAAGCTTCTCTTGGTTAAGCAAGGTTTCCCGAACATGTTCGAACTTGGGCTTGAGACGCATCAGGAACTGAATGAGACGGATCTTATTGCGTTCGGCTTGAGCATCGGGGGGCAATGGCTGGGACAGGAGTGACGCGGACAGCAGATCCTGTTCTGTCCAGAGAAGACGAGCAGCATTAAAGTACGAAGCGACATTGAGATTACCTTGGTGAAGGGCGGCAAGCTCGACTTCAAGCTCAAACTGGCGGTTATTACTGGTGCAGGCATACGTATCGGCCAATGATTTCCACATGGCGGCAGCCGAAGAGAGTAAGCGAAGACCCAGAAGAATGGTGGGATCCACCGAATTTAGAAGCATCGGGCGCACCTTAGCGTCGTTTTGGACCCATTTTGCGAGCTCTTGATCCGTCGAGGGCGGAACAACAGGACGTGCAGATGTACCATCGAGATGGCCAAGAAACCCCTTCCCCTCGATCATTGTTCGAAACTGAAACACCCATATGGCGTAGTTCTTGGAATTGAGACGGGTGGTCATCTGATCGGATTCCATGATCGTAAGCTCTGATACCATGTTAACTAATCTGATATAGAGATACAATCGAAACGTATGTAATCGAAACAGAGAGACACAAATTTACGTGGTATCCTCAACGTATGATCGTCGAGACTAATCCACGGCACAAAGGCGATTTTGGTGTTTCTTATTATCTCCAGAATGTGGTACATGTTACATAAATACATATTCCACAAACCCTAGCCGTGAAAGGGAGGAGGAGAATCGGCCTAGGGTTTCGGTACTAGGCCTACGTACACACTACATACATGTACATGTGCATGGGCTAAAAGCCCATCACTCAACAGTTCCATAGTATTTTGGTGTCCTTGTGATAATCATACCAACTCCAACGAAATTGATAAGGGATAAGAGCCAAGCCCAAATCAACAAAAGTGCACAAAGATCACTCCAATAAGCCAAAAAGAACCCCGACATGCGACAATTAGGGTCAAGAATTGACCTTATAATGAGAGGTGTCTAAGGGGGCAAAAACTACAGTGTTTGCTCCCCCTAACACCAAATACTTATAAAGAATATAGAAGGTGCCAATGCGCCCAACCAATGCGTTAATTGGTTGGAAGGTGCTTGATATAGACAACCACCCTCAAGAACAATATAAATATGAATTCTATCTTCATAAATCATTGAAGCAATATTGGCATGACTACTATCTTCTTCATAAACGAGTAACCTGGCTCTCCCTATGCCCGCAAACCGCTTGAACCTAGTCGACCCTCCATGGATTGGGCTCGAACATGGTACATTCAGTCGCATAATATAAAGTTCTTGTAAAACTTCTCCCATGTGGGTTAAGATGACTACATTGAGGGGACAAGCTAGTGAAGTGACTCTTGAAGGATGAGGATGATGCTGATGATGATAGGGAGTTGATAATTAATCACCTTGAGATTGATGTTTGCCCTAAGAGATTAAGAATTATGTGTGGGGGAAAGGGGGAAGAAGCCAGAAGGGGCACAAAGGGGTTTGTTATTTTGGAATGTTGCTCTTAAATTAGAGCACATGGGAACAAAGGCTGTCGATTTGAGAGTTAGTTTGCTGTGTGAGTTTAGTAGGGAAATATATATGCTTGCTTGCTGTAGTTGACCCCCAACAAAAATTGGGCTGGATACCCACGCAGAGGGCACCCTTTCCCTAATCTTGTCCTAATGCTCCCAAGACATCTTTGGGCCATCTGCCTCCCCTCCTTCTCTCCCTCGTCCCTACAAAATTTATAACCCCAAACTCAACCCTTACCACATTTCATCATCACCATAGTTGTGGTATGGACCAAACCGTTTCACACGCCAAATGCAGTTATAATTCAGGTTGTATTCATCTAACTTGAAGTGAAATTGCATAAGTTGTTGGCCCCATCAAATATGGTGTTTTCAGCCAAACATTAATATTGTGGATTACCAAAGTTCCATCATATTATGACAGTTTTGTTAACTAAAGTTCTTATATACCCACTGGAAGAGCTTCGTGTAGCTTAGCATTTAGTCCGAGGTCGTAATATATGCACACATGTGTCTGTCAAACAATGAGAAGTAGCCGGATGTAATCTACTTGTCCCACCCCTCCAAGGTTCTGGAAGATGTTGTAATTTCTTATTTCTACCTATCTCCTCACTCTAGTTTCTGACTTCGTCGCTAATGATGGCATGATGATAATCAGTTAATCTCAACAACATAACTCAACTTATTATCAAAGATTGCAAAATCGTACAAGTGGGTGTACTAGATAAGTTGATGATAGAGTGCTTTAACCGTGGTTCGACCGTTTTATACCGATGAAATCATATAACGGCTTAAACTCGTATATGCGATGTTTCTTATTAGACCATCGATATGGTACGATCAGGTAACACGGCTCATTATACCAAGTTTGGATGAGTAAGGCTTTCGTTTGGAGTATAGTACTAGCTAGTTTAACAAGCATGTGATCTTCAAAGTTGTAGCTTAGGTATGCACATCAACCCCTCAATCACAGGATTGTCAAACGCGGTATTTGGAATGGAGTGATCAATGGAGGGTGGTACGAGCCATTTCATGGATTGAATGTTTCAAGGAAGATCTGAAATGGTCCAGAGACTGCTGGCTGGCTGCTGTTCAACCGTCTTAACTTTAGTTTGTAACTTTAGATGTAGTGCTGTTGAAACAGAAAGAAAGAGATGAGACTTTCAGAAAAGGAAATTCAGAGCAGAAAGTAAGGAACAAAATTCTGCCTTAGATTCATGTTTTGGCCTTCCCTTCTTTTTCAACCTTCAAAATGTTTTGTTTTGTAAAAGAGGACAGAGTGGTGAGCAAAAAGGGCCATGGATTTTTCGAAAACGAACAAAATGTAATCCACCCAAGGGAAAGCCTGCAGATGATCAGGAAGGAAGGGAGAGCAAAGAAAATGGAGAATTTGCCTTTCTTTCTTCCTTATATTGCTGCCCACCAAAAGAAGTTATTCGGATTTGGTAAACAAGTTCAATTTCGGGTGGATCATGACTAGGTTTAATTTATGGGGTTTTAGGTAGTTGGTCTCTAGTCGGTTTGGGAGTCTGTCTCGGCCTTCTATCTGATGTAAATCTCGGCGTTACGGATATAGTATTCTTGTAGTTTGTTAGAAGCTCAACTTCAATATTTATATTTTGAACGAGATGAAGCAATTTGTCGGAGACTACATCATCCGTCGAGGTAAAAACTCGCTTTTTAAGTGTCTTAATATTGATACACAAAGCTCTTAAATGATATATTATATTGACTCGCATATGACGATGATGAGGTCCTAAGCTTATTTATTATTCAAATTCATACAATTGCCACTTCCAATATTATACTTTTCTTGATCCCTTTTGATTCTTTTTTGGGTTGTTGTATGAGATATGAATACACATTAAAAAAAGGCTGGCAGCCAGTTAGCTCTTCTGGATTGCATAATTTGGATTGCATAATTTGTCAGTTTTAGAATCTGGGTACCAGTTGTAATAACTGCACTTGTAAGTTAAAGGTCACCCTTTTTGTTTGTGGATTTTGCCTTTGTAATTATGACCTCGTGGTAAAAAAAGAAAAAAGGGGTTCTTGATTGAGTAATTTGATCCCTGGAATTTAGCATTCTTCCATTTTGTACCTAAAAAGGGCCAAAGGAGAATATTTTGTTGGGCATTCTTTTGAGTAGAAAATATAATTTGTTGGTAGAATTGTACTTTTCATGTTTTATTGGTATATATGTTATTTTTAGGATTATATGTATAATATATTTTTTATTGTACATGTTTATCAAATGTGTCTACTATTTTTTACATTAAACATAACGTTATAGTTTGAAAAAATTATCAAACATGTTTTTTTGTTGAAAAATGTATCCAAACACCATCAACCACAGTCGAACCTTGATTTGGGTGTCACAAAAGTCTAAAATATCACTAATAATTTTCCTTTAACATTTTTTTGTTTGATTCTTTTGTATAGCCCAATGCACCTAATAATTTCAATTTAACAATACTAAGAGAAATAAATAAAGGGGGAAAACGAACATTTGACCCCCCATTTTGTCGAGGTCAGGTTGTCTGAACCATGGTTCAACCTTGATGAAAATCTAAATTAGAAGGTTGAAAATATTATACTCAATAGATTAGAACCCGGTAGTTTTGGGTGAGGAAAAAAATATTACCAAGTACTCTATTTTTCAACCTCAATGTCATGGACAAAAACTTATAAGGAGTTGTTGGAATGATTCTCGTGGGAACGTAATAGGGCCAAAATATTATTGTGATGAAATCATTGATAATAATTAGAAGACAATTCTCTTATGTCTTATATATATACTAATCCAATTGGAAGGCTAGGAGGTGCAAAGAGCTTAAATTAGTTGGTAAAGACAAAAGGCTAGCTAGCGGAGCAAAAGGAGAGATTTGTAGGTATGATTTGGTACAAAATCCCACCATCATTCACCTTTCCCTAAATTCGTATCAACTCATGAACTCCAAGTGTTAAGAAAATATAAGAGCATCAGCCAAATTATTATCGGTTCAATTTAAAGCACAAACAAATTGATACATAAGTGGAAGGAGTCATGTTTTGTTTGAAATATTATTTGAAAAAAACATAGGCCATCCATATTAGCTAGTTAGCACGATATCATCGTCTTATGGTATAGTTATCATCCACATGGCATCACGTCATTGGTGAGTTTCCGGTTGACCAAGGTGTCATGCCACATCACTCCAGAACTCGACCACATATTACTTGAGCACGTATTACCACGTATTAAGTGTCCTTAGCTTGCACAAGCTTTTTGCCCGCATTTGGTTGACTTGAGCTACTAGAAGTGTCATGGATATGAATTGAGCTATGCTCTCGCAAGTATGAGCTAAGTGATCTATAATATATTATGGTTGAGCTATGTCTAGTTATAGTGACCTAGAGTAAGCATCTCCAAGTTCATCTGAGTTAGGTCAAGTTCTCCTTTCGTATTTCCTAGATATCATAAGTTCCTTTGAGCTTACTATGAGCTCTCTTGAAATATTATGTGATACTTTGAATCCTCTAAGAGCTACAATGGATGAGGTTCAATGTTTCAAAATAGTTCTAAGACCTCTCCGCAAATCATCCATCAGATCAACACTTGTGCTGACATATCCAGGATGTTTATGATCAATTACACATGTTAGGGCCTAGGAGGACCTCTGAGAGAGCATTTATGTATCCGTTGAGAGAAAGTAGTCAAGTCTTAACTAATGTTACATTGACGACTTTATATGTATGTCACTCTCCATATCCGACCTTGGTAGGCGACACTATGAAGGGGAAGTGGCCTAGTTTATAAGACTTCTAGGATAAATCTCGAAGATGAAATCATAGCAAGAACATAGTTGATGTCTGATAAGTTACTTTTGCATGGTCTTAGTCTGGATTTGTATAAAGGAGTTTGGACGAGTAATTCCATAGACTGATTTTGATGTTGCATTCCAACTAACACAACATGTCAATCACATTGACCTAGACTATGTCTAGGTACCGCTACTCGATAGATGTTATACTTCAAGTGGGAAGTTCACTTTACTCAAAATTAAGATTTCCCTATAGATTTCCATACTACGAATAATCTGGATGCATATTTAAGCTATGTGTTTACGTATGATCTTCATTAGATTTTCATATTCTGTTTGATTAATAATCCAAGTTAGAACATTCTTTGCATATATTTAAAATACCTAAATTTCTGACTTATCAGTTATCCTTAAGAACCCATATCATCATGTGACATTTGTCATAGCCACCTAAATCTCTTCAATACTCTAGCTGATTTTATATGATATCCTGTGTGTGCTTATAACTTGTAAGTGCATGGTATTTGACTTTATTTATCTAAGCCCCTACCTTTTGTCATTTTTTTCGCCATTAATTCCTTCAAGCACTGCAAAAAAAGAAAATTTATGAAAGTAATTGGCATTAGAAGCACAAAAGGGGAGGCTCTTTTGACTAGCCATACCATGATGATAGGCTTGAAAGAGATCTTATACCCACTCAATTGCGAATCCATTTACTACTAGCAAATGGAAGTTGGGATTGAGTTTTGAACACAATTAAAAAGGTTAATCACACCATAGAAAAGGGAGATTTTGCGCATGCTTTTATTAATTAACATAATCACCTAAAGGCCAAGAAAAAAAGTTACAATCTTTTTTTCATTAGATTCTAGTGACATCATTGAATGATCCATATCCAATTCCATGTACTTGACTTCATTATAACTTTTTTTAGAGAGGACTTTATTCAAAACTTGTTATAAGGATCAATGTGTGGAGACTTGATTAGGTTTGAATGATGTAGTTTGTATTAGGTAAGAGAGGTATGTTAAATACCTTCTCTTCAACATAAAGCTAACTTATGTAGCTACAAACAAGGGGCCACTACATCCATGATCTAAACCACTAGTGATAATAAGTAAATACAATAATAAATAATTACTAACTTAAGTAGTGTTCTTAACATGCCCCGCAAGATGGAGGATGGGGACGACCCCAATCTTGGATCAAAGCCGTTGAAATTGAGTAATGGGTAGTGGCTTGGTGAGGGAGTCGGCAAGCTGGTGAGCCTTTGGAATATGTAGGACCCTAAGAGCAAAGGATTGAACGAGCTCACGAACAAACTGATAGTCGAGAGCCAAATGCTTCATGCGTGAGTGGTGAATTGGGTTGCCAGAGAATTTGACCGCACTGAGGTTGTCGCAGTAGATTATCGGTGGAGACGAGATGAGATGATGGAGCTCGGACAGAAGGTTCTGAATCCATAACAGCTCGGCGGTGGCATGTGCAAGAGCCCTGTACTCCGCTTTCGTGCTAGACCGAGCAACCGAGCGCTGTTTCTTGGACTTCCATGAAATAAGATTGCCCTCATAATAGACCAGATACGCCATCGTGGAGGTACGATCGTTGGGGTCGCCTGCCCAATCAGAATCAACAAGGGAACTAGGGAGGACATTGCAGGTGTGGATAGGCCAAGACCATGAGAAGCCGTGCCCTTGAGATAGCAAAGAAGTCGTTTAATATGTTGCCATTGAAGTTCAGTTGGTGCATGCATAAATTGAGACAGCTTGTTGACGGCGAAGGCAACGTCAGACCGAGTACAAAGTAGATAATGAAGAGGGCCAAGAGCTTGCTTGTAGAGAGTGGCATCAGCAAGTGGCGTGCCATCAACAAGCAGAAGACGAGCAGTAGAAGACAAGGGAGTGGAGCTGGATTGGTATCTGTCATACCGAAGCGTTGTAGGAGGTCGTGTATATATTTGGTTTGGGACAACAAGTACCCATCAGGAGTGGAAAGTACCTCGATGCCCAAGAAATAACCAACATCGCCAAGACTCTTGAGGGAGAACCGATCAGCAAGGTGAGTTTGAAAGTGAGTTAGAGTGGGAGCATGATTGCCAGTGAGGAGGAGATCATCCATATATACAAAGAAATAGAGTGTGACCTCACCACGATGATAAATGAATAACGAGGCATCGGAACGAGACTTGACAAATCCCTCTTCTTCGAGAAAACCAGAAAGTGCCATAAACAAGACCACGGAGCTTGTTGTAGCCCGTAGATAGCTCGAGATAGAGAACACACAAGATCATGAGAGTGCGGGTCATGAAAACCAGAAAATTGAGCCATGTACACTGTTTCTACAAGAGAACCCTGTAAAAAAGCATTGTTAACGTCGAACTGCATAATAGACCACCGGTGGGAGAGGCGATGGTGAAAACTGTGCGGATGGTAACCGACTTCAAGACCGAGATATATGTCTCATGAAAATCCATGCCAGGGCGTTGAGTCATGCCCTTGGCTACGAGGCGGGCCTTGAATCGATCAATGGAGCCATCGGGATGGCGTTTGATGCGAAAGATCCAACGACAGCCTACTACATGTTGAAGGAAAGACGAGGCACCAGAGTCCACGTGTTGTTGGCTAGAAGAGCTTGATATTCAGCCCACATAGCTGTGTGCCAGCGGGGATCTTTGAGAGCTTGGGCAACCATGGTCGGTTCAACCTCGACAGCTAACTGTGAAATAAATAGTTTTTTTGGGGCGAAATAACCATGTTGGCTTGTGGTTACTGGTCGATGTGGAGTTTTGGCTGGTGACGAAGGGATACGATTTTTTTGTGAGGAGGAAGGTGTTGGGGACGCTGCTTGTGGAGGCGCAGAGGGCAAACTATGAGCTGAGCGTGATGCTAGCAGCGCTGGTGTCATGGGACAGGAAGGCTACAGGGGGAAAAAACACGGACTGGTTGGGTGGTGTAAGCAACCCAATCGGGGCCATCAAGGGGTTCAACGGGAGAAGGAAGGCCAGGGAGAAGGGATTCATCAAATTGAACATGGCGAAAGACAAATATACGACCGACGACAAGGTCATAACATTGATAGGCGCTTTGTGTGAGTAATAGCAAAAAAAAAGACAGCGGCGAGATCAAAGATTCAATTTGTGGGTGGAGTAGGGGCAAAGCCAGGGGTAGCTAACACAGCCAAAGACCCTTAGTTTGGTGTATTTCAGCGTTTCATTGAACAAGGAGAAAATAAGGGGTTTGGCCTCGAAGAGAAGAGGAGGCGATTAATCAGGTAAATGGCAGCATGGAAAGCATAGGACCAAAAACTAAAAGGAAAATCGGCAGTGTGGAAGAGAGCAAGTCCAGTTTCGATGATATGCTTGTGTTTACGCTCAACTAGGACATTCGGTTGGGGTGTGTGAGGAGGGATCAAAAGATAAGTTATGCCATGGATTTGAAGAAATGAACATAATTTTTCAAACTCACCACCACCATCAATATAACTACGGTGAATAGTAGTATGGAAAAAGTTTTCAATCATGTTTTTATAGGTAAAAAAATGTGATGAACATCAGATTTGCAAGACAGGGGATAAAGCCAGGTATAGCGGATGGAATGATCAACAATGACTAAATAGTAGGAATTTTTTTCATGAGAAAGAACAGGGGAAGGTCCCCAAACATCCATTTATAACAAATCAAACGGTCGAGTACTGGATAGACTAGAAATTGAAAATGGAAGTTTGTGACTTTTATGAAACGAGCAAGATTCGCAAGACGAAGATGACAAAGAGAAAACAGGAACAGATTGGTTACGCAAGATACGGGAAAGAAGCTTTTGGTGAGGATGGTCCAGCCAATTGTGCCAGGTTGTCCACGATGCTTTGGACGCCTATAATTGCCAGCCGAACAAGTTGAGTATCCACCGGGTAGCTCATAGACGTCGCCCTTATTATGGCCTCGCAGTAGATGTGCCCCCGTTGCTAGATCCTTCCTAACAAAAAAATCAGAAAAGAATATCACAGACACCGGATTAGATTTACAAAGCTGATCAACAGAGAGTAGACGCCGCTTGATAGCAGTAACACACAACACATTATGCAGAGCCAAACGTGTCATCGGAGAAGTTAAATGGGAGTTGCCAATGTGAGAAATAGTCAAACCTGACCCATCGCCGATAAGAACCTCGTCCGAACCATTATAATCGGTATACAATGAGAGATTGCCAAGGTCTGGCGTCATATGATTGGTGGCGGCGGAGTCAAGTAGCCAGCCGGAAGAGGATGGGGTCGTCGAAGTGTGATGAACTTGAGGGAGGCCTCTGATGCGGTAGCACTCTTTAGCTGTGTGGTCAGGTTTATCGCAAAATTGACAAAGAGGCTGATGGCGATCAAGGAGGGACTGAGCAGGAGGACTGGAGGAGTAACCTGGTGGGGCACGTGAAGACGATGGGCCGCGCAGAGACCGGAGACTAGCCGGTTGGCGAGGGTAGTAGTCGAAGGCATAAGAGTGTGGTGTTGGCGAGCCACGACGAGATCCGCCAGAGGGCCGAGACTAGCTACGCCCACGACCAGTAGAGAAGGCGGAGGTATGAGCGTTGGATAAGTTGTGACGTAACCAATTTAGCCATACTCATCACGCAGCCCTCGAAGAACATAAAGGATTAGATCTTCATTAGCAAACGGGTCACTGACAAGAGCCCACTCAACAGCAGTGGTTTGCGTAGCCTGAAGATAAGCCGAGACCAGACTTGTGCTTTGGACCTCACGATTGTGTTTTTCTTTAAGGCTAATGATTCGTTTACGGGAATGACTCACAAACCTACGTTCTAAGGTCTTCTAGGCCTCTTGTGAGGACTCAGCTGCAGAGACATAAGGAGAGACACCCTGGGACATTGAGGCAAGAATAGAGTAAATAATTAATTGATCTTGCCTGAACCAATGCATGTGGACAGCGGGAGTGGTCGTAGCAGCAGGTGCAGGATGAGTTCCATTGAGGAACTTCATCAGGTCAAGCCCTCGAAGAAGGGTAAACAACTAGGCACACCATGTGGGGAAGTTATCACTGGTAAGCTTGGTGAGTAGCTGGGCCGCCGGGTTGAGGGTGATGATAGTGTTGGCATCATCAAGGTTGATCACCGTTTCACCAGAGTTTTCAGCCATAATTGCAGTGGGCAAGGAGAAGAGTGCAACGACTGTTTGGGAAATATTTGTATGAAGATTAGTGAAGAGAGAAGATTGATTGAGATAGGAGAGAGAATGAGGTAGACGAGAAGAGAAGGGAATCGAGATTTGAAGAAAGGGTTTGTTAAGGAAATTCGAGCGCGTGCTCTGATACCATGTGGAGACTTGATTAGGCTTGAATGATGTAGTTTGTATTAGGTAGGAGAGGTGTGTTAAATAACCTCTCTTCAACAGAAAGCTAACGTATGTAGCTACAAACAAGGGGCCACTACATCCATGATCGAAGCCACTACCGATAATAAGTAATTACAATAATAAATAATAACTAAGTTAAGTAGTGTCCTTAAGACAATGGAGTCAAAATCGTGATTCTATATAGAAGCGTTTCAGTGAACTCAAAATATAAAAATGTGAGATTTTAACTTTTAAAACATATGTTTTGACTACACTTGTAATAGCGGAACCCATATCAAACATGACAGAATGACAAATTGCATAGTACTTACTCATACATGCAATACTTTTAAACAATTTTGTGAGCGTAGCAGTCTTTATAATGCATGGACAAAGATTATGTAACTGTAATGTAAGCTAATCTCAATCTTGAAGAATTATTAGGTAAATCGAGTCTGACCCAACAAACAAAAGAAGCCAGAAAGGAAAACTTGGAAAATCTTGATTGCTTCGAATGGTTACATCAACCAGAACCAGAGAAATGATCATTGAGTTGTAATGCACACATAAAACAAAAACGATCATATTGTGGGCATGAAAATACACAAAATTTTGAACTCATCTAATCCAGCATTCGATAAAAATAAGACACTACTGCCAATACAGAAAGTAGCATCTTAGAGTTTCTTTTTGTTATGGTTTTATTTATCAAGAAGTGGGGAGGATGGATGCATCCATTCAAATTTCAATGTATAATATGACAATTCACTTGTCAAGTACATGTTTTGTTTATATACAAAATTATTCTTGTGTCATATTGGTTAATACAAGAAATTAAACGACTTTATAATATTAATTTAATATCAAAATTAAAACAAATTAAGTTGTGTACGTGAGTTGGATTTTTTAGCCCATGACAACCATACCACCGTGACACATGCGCCCCTTCATTATTGTGCCGCCGCCGTAATTAGGCTAAAATTTGACAATCCCTCGATGTGGGCTTGAATTCAAGTCCTTAAACCTCATTTCTTAAGGAGAATCTTAAAGCCTTCCTATTGGCTAATAGTGGATCAGGTAGTTAATGGGGTTAGTAGTTAATAGGTAGTTAAGGGTAAATGGGGTTATGTAAATATAATTAAAATAATTAATTAATGATTCTCTTTATCTCTCCTCCCATGATTTTCTCCATAACCCTCTCTCTATATTATAATTAAATAGAAATATGAAATTAATTTTAATTGATATTATTTAATATTTAATAAAATCCGAATTTAATAATTTTCATTTTCTAAAATGGAAATTTGAAATTTAAAATATATGCCTCTCTCACATCTTGGCAACTTCCGATTAGTGTTAACATTTTGTAATGACATTATCAATATTTATAAATTGAATCATCATTAGGGATTTTCGTTGCATGGGTTTAGGATTTTTCGTTGTTAGGTATTCGTTTGTGTTATTATTAATGTTGTTCGACATATTTTTAATAATTTTATATGACATTATTAACTTTTTACGTTATGTTTTGTTTGTAACATTAGCAAAAGTGAAATTGTGTTTTCAATTTGTTGGTACTTGAAGTTTATTTATCATTACATCGTATTATCAATTTAGTTCGCAATGATTTATAATCATTTAAAGTGCTATTATCAATATTTTTTCCAAGCACAATACAACCATTAGCAAAAATTTATTTCATTTGTAACATTGCTTATGTTTAGTGATTTGAAATATTAATATTTTTTTGTTATGTTTGTAACTTTGTCAAATGTCATTCTTAAGAAGCATACTTGTTAGGTATTCGTTTGTTTATGACATTAGCAAAAGTGAGTTTACGTTTAGTAATATAACTATGGTTATTAATATTTCAGTCTAAGTTAGTAACGTAGTTGGTGTCATTATTAATAGGTGTGTATAAGCATTATCAATGTTTGAAAAAATAAGATATTAATAATATCTAGTAAGGTACTTAACAATCACTAGTTGCTATCATTATCAAAGATTTTAGATGCATTATCCATTAAACACATGTTACTTATTAATGCATTTTTAGTGCTATTTGATATTAAACATTGTATCTTAATATTATTCATATTTTTTAATAACAAAAATCTATTTCCTTATCAGTGGCTTGATCATTCGTTAAGCTTGATGTCATTTATAATGTTGAAGTCGAGCATTTTTACATTGATGTTTTGTGTTTATTTTCAACAAAATACTTTAAGTTATCAATGATTTATTGTATTGTTATTAAAAGTTTGGTGTTGAGGCATGAATGTTGGTTTGCTTGAGCTAATATTTTTCTTGACAATGTTTGTTTGACTGAATCACACAGGTGCACTATGTCACAAGTACTCAAGATGTTGAAATAAGTATTGTGTTTAGAAATCATTGGAAGAGGCCATGACTTGATAGTTATAAATATGATGTGAAAATGTGAATCATTAGTACTAAAGATGTTGTAAATCAATGATATTGTTATTCAACTGTTAATGACCATGTTACATAACTTTGATGATTTATTCATAGGCGTTGATGATGAAACTATAAAACAGTAACAATTGATCCAAAATTGTTAATAATATAATTGTAAGACATTGATAAGTATATTGAAGTCATTAATAATGATGAGATATAATAATAAGGATTCATTTTATAAATACTGATAATGTCATTGCAAAATGTTAATACTGCATTGCAAGTTGCCACTAAATGAGAGAGCACATATTTTTAATTTTTAATTTTCATTTTAAAGAATAAAAATATTAAGTTCGAATTTATTAAATATCAAATAATAATATTTAATTAAATTAATTTCGAATTTCCTTTTAATTGTAGTGGAGAGAGAGGGTTATGGAGAAGATCAAGGGGGAGAGAGAAAGAGAATCATTAATGAGTAATATTAATTATATTTTCATAATATCTTATTTATTCCAACTAACTATTAACTACTAACCCACATTAACTACCTAATCTAGTATCAGCCAATAAAAATGGTTTAAGAATCTCCTTAAACAATGAGGTTTAAGGACCTGATCCAACCCGCTCAACGTGGCGAGGGGTGATATGCATATAGCACATGATAAGGCGAGGATCATTTGGAGCCATCCTCACGTGATGATCGACATTTTCTTCTGAAAAAGAGAAATACCTTCACTTAACATGATTTTGAAGGAAATCTTGCTATAAAGAGAGTACTTAAAGGGCATGTTCTTTAGAAACTAAAAGTTCGGGGATTGATATGGTAAAAGTACTATAGTAGAGACCAAGAGGGTCCTAAACAAAGCCATTGACCCTTATATTGCAAACTAGATAGGTGGTGGTCGGGCTCTGCAACGGCCTGCAGTTGGTTTTATTATCTTTGGTGGTGGCGGTCAACATTCAATTTAATAATTTTGATTATTAAATGATATTTACCTAAATTTAGGTAGACCTATTGATTATGGGTAGGGTATGAGTGACGTATATATGTGTTCGGAAGTTTGTAGATAGGTTTGGATACGGTATGGATATTTTCATTCATAATCTAAATGTGTATGTGTTGGGTACGGATACCCATTTATTCTAGGGTATTTTAATTACACATACAAAAATTAGACCTATTTGTAGAACTTCAAATGTTTAAGTGCTAAAATGTAATACACAAAAATTTTAGGTTCTAAAATTTAATGTTCCATCAATATTTTGAGGACTTATATGCCAAAAAAAAATTCTAGGTTATACAAACTGGAACTCGTTTAAAAGTTCTCTTTTGTATAAGGAAACTCGTTCAAAATTTCACGTCTTCAATTCCCATAGTGATAAATGACATTTGTCTAAAAAGTAATAACCATATATATTAATTTTTAATTGGACTCAACATTGAGCTGAAAAATATAGTGGTTTATGGTTCAATTATTAATTCTCTAGACGGTTGGTGAGTCGTGCATGGACTTGTTCATAGTTGTGATTAGAATACATAAAAATAATAGTATACTAATTAGGGTTAGACGAAGAAGACAAAGAAAGGAATAAAGAAAAGTGTTATGGAAGGCGAGTGAAAAATGAAACGAAGAGTAAGTAGATGATGAAAAGGTTTTGACCAATTCTTTTAGTTGGTCGTCAATACAACATTCCACCCTTTTCATCGTAGCAATTTATTGACACTTGCTTATGTAGATGTCGCATTTTATTTTTGTTACATGTAGTTAGTAGAAGTTTGTTTAGTATCCCGTAAATGTACTAAATGAGTTTGTAAATTCGCTTTTGCAATATTTTAGAATCATCTATCTTCTATCATTTATTTAATGTTTCACGTAATGAGCAAATATAAATTGATCGAATCTTCTCCTACAGTTGAGTGATACAACATATTGTATGGTACAAACTAAATTTGTACTTTTATGTTATGGTTGCTTGGATTCATTGATTGGTTCAAAAGGATTGGTGGATTGGATTCAAGTGAAATCTATACATTGGACTAATATGTAAATGTAAAAAATTATAGGTACGAAAAATCACATAAAATTTAGATACCAAAACATAATTATTCAATAATTTTACATTAAAATTAAATTTGGAATATTAAAATATAAAATATACATTATAATGACTAAATTGTAATTTAATTAAATTTGCGGTATCAAAATATAATAATTTATGTAACAGTAAACTTACTTCACCTTTTTATATATTAATTAATTAACTATCTATTCTTTGATCTGAACTGAATTATCATTTTGGGATTTGCCAGTTGGGCAATGTCAAGTCATAGGGCGCCATGTGTCAACCAATCATTTGCTTCCCAGGCCTGTTTTTGTCCACTTGGATGGAACTCTTTTGTTACATCAGAATCAGAAAGTCACTCTGCCCTTTGGCCTTCGCGCTTTTCTTGTAGTGTAGTGAAGTTAGTAGCCGAAGCAACAACTGCCCATCTTTGTCGCAATATGAAGTAAGAACTATTCATGCTCATTGATCAATTCTCTCAAAAGCCCTAGAAAATCAATGATCAAAACTTATAAAGTCATTTAGATGAAGGCAGTGGCGGACCCAGAAATTTTTCATAGGGATGTCCTCTTTTAAAAATAAAATTAATAAAAATAATTAATAAAAATAAAAATAAAATCGTAAATTTGAAAATACCTTACTCGTACAGGTTAAAAAAGTCCATGATTTGTTTTCATATTCGGAAATAATTGTAGAATACACTTGGTATCTATAGTGTTAAAAAAAATTGTCTCTATATACCCTACAAGACAATCATTCACGAACTTATCACATATTCGATTTGTAAACTTGTTCTAGATGTAACCCAAAACTGAAAGACTCTTTCAACACTTGCCGTATTAAGAGTAGTTTGAAATTAGTTTAATTGTTAGGTTTTTAAAATAATTAGAGATAGGAAATGACATTTTACTATTACATTTTTCAAAATCGAACAACAAATGAGTTGGTCAACGAAAATTAAGTTTATTAATAAGAATAGTGTTCAAGATTTGAATTACCTAATCTACCACTTATATTCCTATACACAAATGACAGTAGGATAATCATGTTTTCAAATTTCAGGGGTGTCCCTCACTATCAATTATATATTTTTTTTTGTTCATACGTAAAATACCACCGGCGTTAAATAATCGTATTCTCAAAATTTTGGGGTGTCCGGGGACACCTCTAAAACCCCCTGGGTCCGCCCCTGGATGAAGGCATCCTAAAAAAATGATGTGTCTTTCACAAATAATTCACAGTTGGCTACTTAATATGTGTTCTGGTCATTATCAACATCCACGAAGATGAACGAACCGATATGATTTTTTGTTCCACCCTGATCGAAGTCGAAGTGAAATCACTTTTGTCTGATCAGATTGTCCGATTCTTGTCTGCCTTCTTCTAGTCGATCCGTCCTCGTGTCCTTGGAGATGTGTGGTTTGGATTTGGTCGGTTGGTTCCGATTCAAAAAATATGAACTATCATATCAATGTCGAAGTAGTCTCTTGATCCCGCTCATTGCTCGAGCGGACCTGGTTGCACGATCGTCAGCTAGATTATTTCTTCGGGATAACTGAATGATGGAGAAACACCACTTGATGTGGAAATCAAAGAAAAACAAAAACCAGAGGAGATAAAAATAAAAGAGGCAGTGGAGGAAAAAAGGGTACAAAGATAACAACCTCATCAGGTCAGTGACTGGCAGTAAAAAGTGAAAAAAGAGAGAATCCCACATCAAAGCAGCAGCAGCAGCAGCTGGATTACTGGAGAGGGCAGAGACCATACAAATACAATAGGGCAGAGTCCAATCCCTCCCTCGCGAATCGAGGGCTAAGTGTTTTCAGTTTTCACTTTAACAGTGACAAACTTTTTACAGAGCCCCACAGTAATAAAGGAAACAGGGGAAAGAAACAAGTAACACAAAAGTTCCATTTTTTTCTTTTTTTACTGCTGCTTTCTGTACGGTTACCTTTCTTTTTAACCTTTTCCTCTTCCATCGTCTTCCCCAAGAAATCTCTCTTTTGTCATTCCTTTTCTCACCTCTCTGTTCTTTGCATGTTAACCAATGGTTAAAGGGATCCTTTATCTCTTCTTTTCAAGTATGGGTGGTTTAGTTTAGCTAAGTAAGGGTTAAGAACAAAGCATGTTTTTTTGTCTCTTTGAAAACCATGCTTGTCTCCCATTCCATGTCTCACTCCCCATTGCCCAATGCCCATGCACACTAACAAGCTATACTCTCCCTTTATCCCCAAAAACTATCTAAGTTGTGATTATTATATATACTCTTTATGTCTCATACCATTCCAAAACCTCTCTTTCCCTCCCATATACATTCCATCTTCCTCTATCGTTTTTTTGGTTGCATGTGAAATGAGAGGGGTGATGTATGGAAAGTGGTTAAGATCCATGGATGAAATTTTTTTAATAATTGGAGTTCCATGATCTTTCTTAACAATTTGAATTATAGGAACCAATAGGTTTTTTATATGGTATTAGAATTGGTTTGTTTATGTGGTCATGTGTTCAAATTCTTACGACTGTTAATATTAACCCTGATCTTAAAGCACATGGTATGACAGTTCTGTGCAAATTTCAAACCCATGATTTGGTTTTCGTTTGAGGGGTGTGTAAAGATGGGCCTTTCCCTATAACTCTCTATGCATGAACATAGAACTCGAGTTCTTGAGAGATGTTCAATTATGGATTTATATCATTTACTAACACGCCCCCTCAAATGGAAGCTAACTCATATGGCTGAAGTTTGCACATGTTCATCATACCATGTACTTAACAAATGAGGATCGTTGGAATTCGAACACAATACCTTTTAATAATTGAAAGCTCTGATATCATGTAAAAAACCAGATGATCCCAATAACTCGAGTTATAAAAACCAACTGGTTAATGACAGTTGAGTCACATATGATTTCGTGTTCATGTATTGTCGCTAATATGAGATATGTTTTTTTCTTGTGAACAAGAGAGGAGAGATAAGTTTTAAATCTAAGTTGCATCTTAGATTGTGATATTTTATCCACCCCGACTCGATCCATCTCGGTGAAGATTTGTGTTGATTGGTCTAGAAGAGTTGGGGTGGTACTGAAATTTGCTTTAAATAGTTGCATGTATGTCGCAATGTACTTAGAAGATTGAATCCTATGCTTGTCGACCTAGCTAGCTATAATGCTTCCAAAGTGCATAATGATGATGATCGATCATCGCCGGCCGGCGGCCGGCCATGAACTCTTTCCAAATTCATGCTGTTGCGTGAACATTGCTCGAATTGAAGGACAGTAGTAATCTCAGTTTTCATGTCCCCTCTATATATCTCTTACATGCAATCATCGATCGATTTCCTTCCACATGGAACGTTTTCATACGATGGGAATTCGGAAAAGCCCCACCACTCTGTTATTCCAATTGGGAAAGGAAAATGGAGCAAGAGAAGAGAAACCCCCCAAGCACAAAATATTTAGCTTCTGCCAGCCGCCAAATCCATACTCGTTGCTTGTCAACTCATTATTATTGCATAGTAGTACAGTTTAGCCGACATGAAAACACACCCCATATGCTCCCATCATTTCGCAAAAATAGTATCTCCATTGACTCGATCTGATATATTCTTATACGATCTTTTAGAACGTATCACACAATGAATCGTTATTTAAATTAGAGCGTTTGATTTGACGTGTATTCGGAAAAGATAAGTAAGGGTCCCGAATGTTTTGAAGGGTTGTGGATTTTGATAAGTCCCCATGGGATCAAGGAGAGATGGATGTACTTATAGAGAAACTAGCTTAGGTATAGGTTATATGTAGGCATTAATGCACATTCAGAGTATTTGAACATATGTGAAAAAAATGGTGGGTTGGGGGGATCATAGACAAGGATACTTTGCTTTCCATCTTCCCTTCCAATTTATGCCCTCTCCCCATCTTTATTTTCTCCTCCCAATTCCACACAAAAATAAAAGCTGTGTTCCAATCTTGTATCTGTTCTTTTGTGTTTTCCCCCATCTCCCTTTTCACGGGTCTTCTATCCAGTTCGTAATGTCTCCACATTCGTTGTATCGTTTAAATTATGTTTAAGTGACCAAACTTAATCCACTTTATCATCACGATGGTATAACAATCGTTCATCTGATTATGTTATCGTATCTATGAATCGATTAGTCTCATATATTCGATCCACTATCGTGTCACTATTCATGGTCCTACCAGCTTCAACATCAACTTCTTCCTTCTCATTTGTTCTTCAGGAGATGGGTCCTTCTTTTCAATCCTTGTTTTGGGTTCAAAGAGGAGGCATGGAATTTAATTGAGTGAATGAATAGAGAAGCATGAACATATGGTTTTTCGTATCTTCACATGATGGGAGCCATGTGACGATATGTCACAATCTTCCCATTACTTCTTCTTCTTCTTCTTCTCTATATCTTAATTATTTTCAACTTCTTGTCATAATAATCATTATTAAGAAAGGCCTCACCAGTCACCAGTACAGTCTGATCCTTACAGAATTTTCAGCAAATTTAATATTTATAATTTTTCATGATTACCGAATTATGGAACATATTCAGATAGATGTAAGTCAATGCTCTTGGGAAAATCCAAAGACCCCCCCGATCGAGAGGGATGGATAGGGAATAAGAAAGTTGAACCTTTGAGCACAAATGTGCATTTACTATTGGGAGAGTAGGAGAGAAATAGATTTGTTTTCACGGGGTTATCGACGATTCTACAAATACAATAGGTGGGGGTGGTTGTTAAAAAATCCGACTCAGCCAATCACTTTCAGATTGGATATTAAATTTATCTCGTGCCAGTGACTCATGTTCGCCTCATTTATGAGGTTGACAGCATACCGCAACGTATGTGGTGAATATTCACGAAAGTCGAGTATCCCGATCGATCTGCAGTGGTTGATGTGTTTTGAGTATAGTAAGATTAAACTTTTGGTTTCAAATGGTTTGTAATTTTGTATTTACCATTTAATGTAGCAGTGTCGACGAGGACGATAGTTAAAAATGATTGCACACGTGTCACACATTGTTTCGACACTGTAGTTAAGATACATAATAATTATATTGTTTTACATCTCAATAATCTGGTGAACAATGGATAGTCATATTGCATTGTATATTTGTATGTGTGTTCTTTAAAACTAATAAGGGTTTTTTTTCTTCTTCAAAATCCGCACAAATCCATCCACGCGTTTAACAACAAAGGAGGGCTTTTAAAACTTGTGAAGGGAAAATGTGGCTCCGGGCTCCCGGGGCTGTCCCTCCAGAAGGGCAAAGGACTTAGGACTTAGGACTACCCACTCTCACTCCCCAGACCCTTAAAAGCCCAAAGAAAGACAAACCCAATTGAAAAGAAGCCAATCCACTCCGACCATCCAGAACCCACCTCACTGTGGGGCTTTTTTAGGGGCAATTCATTCAATTTAAATTTACCACCTGAAAACACTCAAGGGACAGTGTCCTACAATAGATCTAAAGCCCCCACCCCCACAATGTTGTCAACATGCTGCCTAGCCACTGCCTTGTTTCTTCCTCCGGCCTTGTTAGGGTGCAGTGAAGAAACTGGCAGTAGGGTAGCAACGAGTCGACATGGAAAGGGACAGATGTGAAGAAGTGGTTCCAAGAATGGAGGGGATAAGTATATCCTGTTCCACAGACACAGGGCAAGTTGGGTACTCAAGGTTGCCATATACTCACTCATATGGCTTTCACATCACATGTCATGAATGTCCGAATTTGGAGCGCGAGTCTCGTCATTGTATTGTGTCGTTAGACCTACAGAAGGACTCGTCGTGATCCGAACACAGAATTGCATTGCTGGTATGGTATGGTATTACTTCTAGTTAGCAAGAGGGGCCGAGTGGGTGTTGTGGGAAGATGGTTGAATGTGGTTGCAGTTATGCAGATGTGAGGTCGCTTTCTTCCAGCCCAATAACGGAGCCCATAAATAGGAACGGGAAAAAATCCAGGCCAATATCCAATAAGAAGTCTGTCAGTGTCAGATGTTCATCTAGTGACCGGGTCGAGGTCATTCAGTAACCAGGCCAGGCCCACTGGGAACCGATCCACATTAATACGAGGCAGAGAAACGCGAAGGAAAATATATCTCAAAACACTCCCCGTCTTCCCAATTATACCAGTTCCAAGAACTCGAGGTTCCCAATCAAACATCCATCACAAACCAAAGCACAAATCCCACTCTACTATAGAGAAAAAGTGCACAACCTCCTCAACCCGAATTCCCCCTATGACTACACTAGAGTCTTTCAAAAGGTTCTCATAACAGCAACAAATGGGCACATCCCACCGCGAAGAGAGAAAACTCAGGAGATGACCATAACATAGTGCCAGAGAAACCTGCACAAGGGGATCCAGCTTTTCACAATACACCGCTCTAATCGAATGCATCATCATCGTCATCAGGAAGAGGCTGGTTAGCAGCTTGGGCAAGTTCAGCTTCATGTCTGCACATCAGAAAACAATTTGTATCAGCCATCGCAGTTAGAAATCTGAACAGACAAATCAATGAATTATAGACAGGTATTAGGAGGCTTACTGTTGCTGCGTAGCCATGTCAATTTGTACTTCTGGGGGTCGAAGAGCAACGGCCTCAACAAAGTGAAGATTGGGATCCCTAAATCCAGTAATGTATATAATCAGTTTTAGGATTGATCACAAGCAGCAATGGATGACAAGTAAGCATCTGTAATAGGGTTGAAATTACCCAGCAAGCTTGCGGGCAAGATACAGGAAAGGTTTCTCGAAATTGTAGTTGCTCTTGGCAGAAATTTCATAGTACTGCAGGTTCTTCTTCCTGTGGAAAGTAACCTGCTTGGCCTTCACCTGCCTGTTCTTTACATCAACCTTGTTTCCACACAGAACTATGGGTATATTTTCACACACCCTGAGAACAAAGAAATTGGTTAACATCTGGCCTTTGTAAGATAAGTGAAAAAGATATCACAATTCAAACCTAAACTAATAGTACAGAGGTGAAAATGTAAAGACATAGCCACACACCTGCAGAGATCACGATGCCAAGTAGGAACATTCTTGTAGGTCAATCGAGCTGTAACATCAAACATGATAATAGCACATTGACCATGGATGCTGCATTATGGGATACAAAAAGTTGGTCAAAAAATCAAATCAATGTATATACATTATTTAAAGATAGAACAAAACAGGCCAATATCCACAGAGACGACAGAAGAAATCAGAGAATTGAAGCAATGATACTCAGCACACGTAAGGGACTTGAAACTGCAATATACAATGGAATGACACTAACAGCATCAATCCTCTGAATGATTCACTTTACTCTTAACCAAAAGAAACCCCTGAGCTCTGTGTATATACACTTTACCATGACCATCTAATGAAAGCAGCAAACATGCGAACAACATCACCAAGCAAGATATGACAGCAAAAGAATATACAAAGGGTACAAGGATAGCAATGCAAGAGGCAACTACAGCTTCTAAACTCTGGCATAGGCTGAAGAATGGAGAAGCAAACACTACTAACAGAAAAAAATAATCAAGGAGCTGCTAAACTCCAAAACAGTAAGCCAACTAACTACTAGTTCATGCACGAAGGTTCATCTACATTCATCAGTTCATTTCACAATGCTAAAATACAACACACGATCCCCACTTACTAGTATCCATCTCTAAGACCGCCAAATTTCTCTTGCCCAGCTGTGTCCCAGCAGTAGAACCTGATCTTTCCACAGTTGGTGGTGAAATCCAATGGATGAACTTCCACACCAATGGTTGCTGCAAAATCAAAACGAAATTCAATTTAACTAAACTCAGAATGAGAGATAGTGCTCGAATCAAAACCCAATTAACCAAACACCCACGTTCATATTTCTTCTCAAACTCTCCAGTCAGATGTCTCTTGACGAATGTGGTTTTCCCTGCAACATCACCAAGACAACATCTTGTCAATAAACCAAACAACAACAGATCATTAATGGCGTACACCAGGAAATTTAACACACAGTGAGATCTAATCCGAGGGCCTAACATTACTACCCTCCCATTAACACGGACATCTAAACAATAAATACCAAACAGGAGAGATCTTAGAAAAGCACTACAAACACGAACTAATCAGCATAGCACGATGGACGAAAATCGAACTACAAACGAGAAGAAAGAAAGGTAGGAAATTTACCAGTGCCTCCATCGCCAACGATAACGAGCTTGAAGCTCGGGTAATCAACTTGCTGCTGGTTCGGCAGAGCCTATATACAGAGCCAAAAGGAGGGAGAAAAAACAACAAATCAGCGAAACCTAATCACGAAACCTCCGATTACATACATGACAAACGAACGAACCAAAAACCCTAGCAAAGCAGCTAAAATTCGAAATGACGGGACCGGAAACGAAATCGGAGAGAATACTAAACAAATGAGACCTCAAAGGAATCGGAGACATACCATTCTCGCCGGAGATGCGGGGACGAAGCCTCGAGAAACAAAGTTTTCCGAAGGAGCGCTGGAAGGAGGCAGAGAGAGCAGTGAATTGAAGACGGCGAAGCTATGAATTTCGGAAGAAGGTTTATATAGGGTTCAACCTCGGCAGCGTAGCTTGAAGATGCAGCACTGCTTTAAAATCAAGCAACTACCTGGGCCGTTGGATTCGATTACAAGAAATGACTTTTTTTTAAATAGAATATACTCGGCTCGTCGAGAGCCGTCCGATTAAAAATTTCGATTTTTCAGCGCTTTTTGAAATCAATCCGTAGAAAGGTAGGCCGTTTTGTTCATGGACTAAGTTGTAAAAGCCCAGCAAAGGGACGGGCCCAGTAGTGAGCCCGTTAAACGCCAAAGCAGACTCTTCGTTAAGTTGGGAAAAGAAAATTGATTAGTCGGAGTTTTGTTCTTTCTTCTTCTCCAGCAGCAAATCTGTGACGGATCTTCAGCTCAAGCGCTTCCTGCTTGCGACCTGTAATCGAAAATGTCCTCCGCGGCTGATTCCACCAACCAGTAAGTTCCTTTAGTATTCAAATCCACCTTCTAGCGTTCAATTGTATAATCCCATGAAACTCCGGCTGAGAATGGATGTGGCGCCGGTGCAGGGCGGCTGTCGCTAGGAAGCCGAAGACTCCGTTCAAGTTCTTGATTCCGCTCATCTATGCTCCAGTTCTTCCACTAAGTAAGCTGTTCTCATATCCTTTAACGTTCAAATTTCGAAGCTTTTTTCCAATTATGTTGATTGGGATTTTAGTACCGATGGCGAATCCGGATTTTTTTTTTTTTTTGCCTTTTCAGTTCGACTGTCACTGCGTAGGAATCCGGTCTTGAGGGACAGGCTGTTCACTGCTGTGTTGGCTGGTGCCTTTATTCATGGTGGTTACTTGGTGTATCCTTTTTTTTCAATGGTTTCCTGTTGATATTTACCTGCTCCTATCGATTGATTCCTTGGTTTAATGTGGGCATGCTTGTTGGGTTACACCTGAGACGATCAATCAATGTGAACCTAGCATACTCTTTTTTGTAAGAGTGGCTATCTTACAATGGGGAGATGAGTAGATTCTGATTCCCTTGTAGCTTAGAACTTCTGTTGCAGCATCCTGCACTATGATTTGGATATATATTGGCCTTGGGAGTTTCTAGTTTGCTAGCCATTTTAAAGTTTGGCTGCTTAATAGAATAGTGCTTAGGTTATTGTCTCCTTAGTTCTGTATGACATTACTTCCTTATAAGTTCTGATAATGGGTCTTGTCTAGCTTGTTTGTTTCTACAGTACAGCAATTTGTTATGGCTGTAGCTGCAAAGGGAGACAGATGGATATATAGGTAGTTGGGGAAAACCCTTTTTTCACAGGTAAGTATGTTGCTCATAGTGGGAACATATGTTTTAACTGCGAATGATTGCTGAATTAAATATGCAGAGTAGGAAATATGCTACACTAAGCATAGTTTGTTCTTTTTCCCTCTCTTTGCAGTTTCTTATAGGGGGGAAATTGTCTAAAAGAGTTTTCATTAGTCTTTTCATCGTTTTCTTGACAGTATAGATCTTGATGTTTGCTGTTGTTTGCATCATTCTATATTTGTGCCTCCATGCTACTTGAAGTTGAGAACATAAAGCTCTCTTACCCCGCAATAATTTGTGTATCCTTTGCCTTTGCAAGTGGCATATTGAAACTGGAGAGACCATGTACAATAGATAATGATCTGGTGTCTTGTGGATTTGATTCTCCTGCTGAGTCAATCCAGTTAGCATCTATATCATTTGAGGTTCATCCCTTTCAGTTTAAGTTATGGTACAATAGAAGGTTTCATAGGTTTAGGATCTCTCAGTGTCTGCAGGTTGTGTCAATCTGCCTTCCGTCAGCCTGTTCCAACTGGTACCTTGTGTTTTCCTTTTTCCATCATGACCCTTTTTAGTTTAACACAGTTAAATCTCTGCTCCCTGGCTTGTTCATTTTGCTGAAACTTTGTGCTTGGTCCTTGTCGAAATCTCCTACAGTCATATAACCCATGCCGAGATATGTTGAGCCTGCCATTACTTGTCCAATTTGTCACTGTTGACCTAGAAATAACCAGGGGAGATTCCGGCGAGCTATTAGCTAAACACTAGGGATGAGAACTGGACCAGCAGAGGGAAACAATCAATTTGATGTTATAAAATGTTCTACTTGTATACCTACATTTTTGTGATGACTGAACAAGTTGGTCTCCCTTTCTTCACATATCTGCTATCAGTGTTCCTTGATAATCAATTTTCCAGGACCGATTTATACGACGCAGAGAGCAAGTGAAGATCGAAAGACAGCATGGAGGAGCCTGGTTCCTGAGTCCCATTTTACACACCAAATTGGTTTTGTTCAATTGATACTGTTGTATTCTCAGGGATAGTTTTGTAGCCTGATGAATTCTGTTTTGTAATTCGATGCCTGTCGAAAATAATACTAGAGATACGAATAGAGGCCCACATTTTGCTGTGACATAGACTTGCTAGTCCATGAACAGGTAAAAAACAACTCCTCAAAACGCTGAGACCTACCATTTTCATCAAGGGTTTGGCTCCAGATGATGGTTGACAGATGATTGTGGACATATTCCGTTAGCATCATACGACTTGATTCTAATGTCTGTCTGCATCAAGGAAATCTCCAGCCGAAACCTTGATTGTGAGATGCAGTAGGGTGCCTCTGGCATTTGTTTCATGTGTTTCTCACAAGTTGGAAGAAAGAAAACAAAACACCAGAAAGCGCGCAATTTGACGGTGAGCATGGCGCCACCACCCACCACTACCTTTTGGCCGAGCCAGAACCACCACCACCGTTTGTAATTTTCTGCGCTTTTTTCATACCGACGGAAACACCTTCATGAGAAACCGCTGCTTCTCTCTTTCTGTCAATTCTTGACAATCAATGTTTGCTTGTCCTGATTAGCCCTTTGAAAAGCCTCGAAATTTCCGGTCCAGCACTTTAGTTTCATTCATTGCTTCTTCCCGGCAATTTCCGTCACCACAATTCCCCCCCGCCGGCTGCTCTGCTACCGGCCAAATCCGCCCATTTTTTCCGTCTATCACTATAGTTAGAACGTAGGAAAAGAATATAGAATATAGTCGAGGCATCAATTAGCCGCATTTTGGGAACTATAGTGATTGAATTGTCACCGGAACCAAATTTTGGTCCGTATAAGTCAATGGTATAATATTTTATGCTTAACTTGTAGTTTAATGTTCATTCAACTATTTCATACGGTAAGGTTTACACTGATTTTATTTTTTTAATAAAGGTGATATTGATTTTATTTTGTTGCTGTTATATTATATACGTTAAGAATTCGAATCTAAAACCTCAAAATTCTTAAGATTCAAAATTAGTGATACTATTACTACACCAATGGGGAATTTCATAGGATTCGATTTAATGATCCAATCGGCTAATTTTGCATAAATTCCAATTTGAAGGGAACTCTGTTCGGCAGAAAAAATTTCATCGTTAAATCCAAATCTTGTATTTAAAAAATAACAGAAAATAATAAATATATCTAATATAGAGCAGAGCAAGAGCATATTCTTCAGTCTAGTTGGCCAAATACCAGAATCAATATCCTCGGGCGGCTTAATTGTGATTAAATACATCATTTAACATTAATTTCATATATAAATCCACGATTAAACTAATAAAAAACGATGAATTATTGGATCTTGAAGCTAATGATCCAATTAGTGGAAAGTGGGCCCGAATTTATATGAGGAAGGCACGGCATTGTTTATGAAACAGTGCTCTAATTAATCAGACGGCCAATCAGCAGATTGCAAACCGGTTCGATTCAGCCGGAAAATGGTACATGCAAAGCTCCAAACCCAACCGCTTCCATGGCGGAACCGGCGGCACAGATCCGCCGGAAAATAGTTGAAACAGCATACGAAATTAAAGAACATGATGACGGACACTAATCTTTGTTTTTTCATCGACTGCTTTACAGAAGAAGCTAGTTAATTCGTCTGTTACAAACAAGGAACTAATCAAACAAACATTAAACCCTAGAAGACGAAGAAGAAGAAGTCACCGGAATCATCCCACGCTTTTCTGCCTCCAAACTAAAATTTATGGACGGACGGACTGACTGGCTGACGGACGGAGCCGGCCAACGACGCAGCGCAAAAGCGAGAAAAAAAAAACGAAAGAAAATTATCTTACAAATCTAAGAAATTAAAGACGGATCTAGGAAACGGATCGATTACACACGGGAGGGAGCAAAAAAAAGCGTGAGGGCAAATTAATAAATCGGCCGGAGGCTACCGGTCGGCAGCGGCGGAGGAGGAGCTGTTGTCGTTCTTCTTGAAGTCGGAGGCGAGGCGGGAGGCGATGGCGGAGTGGTACATCACGTCGTGGTGCGACGACGCTCCCGATGTCATCATGCGGAGCTGCTTGGCCTTCTCGGCGGTGAAGCAGCCCGGGGAAAACCGAGATCTGGCCTGCTTGGACTCCAGATCCGCCCGATTCTTGTTCTGGTCGCCGTCGGCCGGCTGGATCTCCGAAGTCCCGACGTAGTCCGGCTCGGAGGACCAGCCGAAGAGCGGGGACCACCATTTCGGCGAGACGGAGGAGGAGGGAATTCTCCGGGGGTTGTTTGGCTCCAAGCTGGACGAGGAGCAGACGACGGCGGGTCTGAGAGGAAGGAGATTGGCGGCCATTTGTTTGATCTGAAGGAGATTAGAGTTTTCGAGAATCCGGCGATCGGAGAGTAGGAAGGAAGCTTTGTTGGGAGACGGAGGTCGGTGATAATGGCGTGGGGGGGAATTTTTATGACAGTTGGAAAGGGAGGAGGTGGGGGCGTATTTGAAGGAAGTGGGGGAAAGAGAAAAAGGAAGGAAAACGGGAAGGAGTGGATAAGATGGGACACGTGGAGGTTTCGGCGAAAGAAGCGGGAAGAGGGCTATCTAACGCCTTTGTTTATTACCGGCTATTCCGGTGGCTGTCAACTTGGGGCACCACCTGACTCGGAGGTGAGGCAGCTGTGACACGGACTCGGCAGCCGATATATGTTCCGTTTTGCGTCTTTAAAAATAGGATTAGGTCTTACGCCTCCATTAACATTCAATTAAGTTCTGATTAATTGAGTTTTACGTTCTAGGATAAGGACAACCGCACTCCAAAGTCCAAACCCTTGATTTTTTTTAACGAATTTGAACTATTTTAGGATGTTATTACCAAAAGAAAGGAACTATTTTAAGATGAGAATGAGTATGAGGAATTCAGTGGGCAGCGGGTTAATTTGAGGAAATCAGTAGTTTGCTTCAGTATGAATATCACTGGTGCTGATAAGGAGTTTCTCGTCCAAGTTCTGGGAGTGAGGGTCGTGGGTGTTCATGATAAGTATCTGGGTCTACCATCCCTCATTTTCCGCTCTAAGATGGCCACATTTCGCTTTGTGGAGGAACGGTTAATAGACCGACTGCAGAGATGGGCTCAGCGCTCGCTGTCCGTAGCTGCTAGAGAAACTCTTATCAAGTCTATGGCTTCTGCACTACCGCTGCATGTGATGTCCTGTTTTAAGCTGCCCCTCTCTCTTTGTCGTACGTTGGATAGGCTGGTTGCGCGTTTTTGGTGGGGGTGGAGGATGGTCACTCTTGCATCCGTTGGATGTCTTGGCGAAGGATGTGTCAGAGTAAGCATGAGGGTAGAATGGGGGTTCGTAGATTTGAGTTCTTCAATCAAGCGCTTCTTGCTAAGATTGGATGGCGGATTCTGACTGATCCTCAGTCCCTTCTAGCACAGGTGTACAAAGGGAAGTATTTTCCTCGTGGTGACTTCCTTTCTGCGACTCCCCGCTCTCGCCCTTCATGGGGGTGGCAGAGTATCCTGCATGGGAGACAATTGTTGGTCAAGGGTATTATATGGCAGATTGGGGATGGGCGAGGGGTGGCAGCTTTGACAGATAATTGGATTCCCTCGCTCCACCCTAATCCCCCCAGGTTTAACCCTCGGGTTCTTGAGGAGGGTATGGGTTTGAAGGTGGTTGAGTTCATCTGTCCGACTGAGGGGTGTTGGTTACTGGATAAGCTTGGGGAATGGTTCCCGCTTGAGGTCTGTCGTGCTATCCGTGGGATTCCTCTGGCCAGAAGGGGGATTGATGATAAGTTAGTCTGGCATGAAGCCGGTGATGGGATTTTCTCGGTGAAATCAGTGTATCACCTAGCTGTTCGCCTAGACCAGCAAGCTGGAGGTTAGCGCCCGCTGGTAAGTTGGATGGACAGGGGAAGCTGGAAGCGGGTGTGAAACTTGGCTATTCCACCTAAGTTGAAGGTGTTTCTGTGGCAAGTTCTACATAGGTTCCTCCCCACCACGGAGGCTCTCATTGGCAGGAGGGTGGATGTTCATCCTCGTTGCCCGGTGTGCTGGGCTGCGCTAGAAACTATGGAACATCTATTTTTTGACTGTTGTGTGGCTCGTGCTTTATGGGATTTAGCGGGGTTACAGCATGTGGGTCAGGGTTTACCTCGACTTACTTTTCCTCTCTTTCTCAAGGACCTTCTGGCCATCGTGAGGGACACTTCCCATGTCATGGAAATTGTAGCGGTACTCTGGCGGATCTGGAAGTCCCGAAACTGGGTAGTCTCTGAAGGAAAACAGTTTGGGATACCAGCCCTTCTTCGGCAATATAACCAGCAGGTGAGGGAGTGGGATTCGCTTCCAAGGGTGGTGGAGGGGGTTGCCCCTGTGCGGGTCATCTCGGCTGGGCCACCAGGTAGCCAGAATCATCTCATTTGTAGGTGGGATGGAGCCATGAGGTCAGGGTCTCATTCTCCCGGAGGGATGGTGCTGCTGAGTCCGGACGGGGCGGTTGTCGGTGCGAGGGGGGTGGGTTTCCCGGAGGTTGTTGAACCAATGCTGGTAGAAGTGTTGGCCCTCAGGGAAGGAATCCTCTAGTGTCGGAGCCGAGGCTGTCTCTTGGTTCGTTTTGAGGGCGATGCGAAGGTGGTGGTGTATAAACTTCTTTTGGCTCAGGGGAATGATAGTACGGCTGGGGATATTTTCCGGGAGGTGTTGCTCTACTTGGCGGAGAATGCAGGGTTTAGTGTTCGGTTTGTTGGTCGGCGTAGTAACAGGGTAGCCCATTTGGTGGCTAGAAAGACCCCTTCTTTGTACCTGATAGCGAATCGTTCTTTTGATTTCGTAGCCTGGTTAAGGTAGGCGGTATAATGATTTTTTTTATTATCAATATATGATTAACTTTTGTCAAAAAAAAAAAGATGAGGGAGTGTATGATAAGTAGTTTATCCGTTGCGGATGACACGATAAAATGCGTATATAACTTAAATCAATTTAAACAAGGTCAACAAAATTTTGTATAGTGAGGTTAGATACATGTACGATGAATTCAGTACTCACAAAATAACTACATCATTACATTATGATACAGGTAAATCTCATTTTTCACGTGTTAAATTTCACGGACACATTCCAACATTAGAAAATTTTCACGACGGGACGTGAAGGCCACGCGTTGGTCGATCAATCCCGTTTTTATCGAGTATGGATTACACAATAATATCCATATATTAATAGGTCTTTAATTGGCATCAATCGGAACAAGGTAAACAAGGATCCACTGCATCAAGAACACTTATATGATATTATTTGAGTGAGATTATCTTGCACCAGTGGTTTTTAAAACCTTGATCTCGGCTAGGGATGTCAATGGATCGGGTTGGGTCGGGTTTTGCCAAATCCAAACTCAAATCCATGAGTTTGTTCATAAAAAAAAAACCGAGGTAAAATCCATTGGGTTTGAAAAACTCAAACCCAACCTGCTGGGTATCCGCAGGTTCATGGGAACCCATGGGTTTTTGTAATAAAAAATTTATAGTAACAAGTTTCTATCAAAATAAAATTCAAACATCAATTTCTCATACAAATTATCCATACATAAAACAACATTCTAGAAAATTCAAAATATCAGAATTACACTAAATAAAATCACACGGAAAAGTGTAGTGAGTTAAATTTGAGGAAATTAGAATTAGGGTAGCGTTTGAGGAGAGTAGGGCGCGAAATAAGTGTGGGCGTGTATCCATGAGTCGGGTACCCCTAAACCCAAATCCAACCCGATGGATAGTGTATGGGTTTAAACCCAAACTCGACCCAAAACCCCGCCTTGATACAGTTGAGTCGGATAGTGTATCCGTTGGTTCGGGTTTTGTTGCCATCCCTAATCTCGACATTGTATTTACTCACGGGATCAAAGAGGATAAAGGTTACTGTGTTTTTCTTGCAGGCCAATACTACAGTGCCGCACTAAAAAGTGCGACACCGGTGACGCCGTTTCTGATTGGGCCACATGGCGCTGACGTGGCCTGACTGGTTTATAAATCCAATCCTGGCCGGCTGGCCCATGAGTACTAACCATTAACCCAAAACTAACTGAAAAACCTTCTCCGTCCAACGTTCATTGTGTCATTAAAAAAAACTGATATTAGTTTTATTTTTCGGAAGAATCAGAAACAGGGGAACAACGGGTAGACGATCTAACGAGCCAAAGCACCATTCCTCGATCTCCTACGGCGGTCTGGCCAAAATCAGTCCGACGACTTGTCCGTCGTCAACCCCATCTCCGAGGTCAAGCCTCGATTTAAATCCGTCACTGTTTCCTCCTACTGTCCTACATTTTTGGTAGAACAGAGGCGAAAGAATCAATCGTGTTCGCGGGCCTCTGTCTCCAGCGAACAGCACAAGGTTTCGACTTGAGCCAGGTTGGTCAATCAATCTTTTAGTGCTTCGTTTTCCTTCGAACTTCCGGATTAGTTTGTAGTTCTTATAAATACCCGTTGGGGAAATAAGAGTATTATGATGGATGATTGAATGTTCACAAGCCACCGTTCATTCCTCCAACACTAGGACCCCTATAATTGGGGTTTTAATTTCGCAACTGATTTCTGGTCTTCTTTGATTGCCGTAGAGGAAGAGGGAGGGAGATACTTTACTTTGTGGGAGACAGGCAGCGGATCGCTCCGTAGCTAGGAAGGAAATATCTCGGTTGGGTTGTTGTCGTTGGTGACTCGGTGGGACATTAAGCATTCACAGCCGAGTTGGATACACCAAGGACCTTTAATCGGAAAGCTTGGAGGTTTCTATCGTCAATTTGACTGATCCAACCACATTCCACGGTAAGCACTTTAATGAACTCCATCTTCGGTAATGAAGTCTCACTGTGTTTGTCATTGTTAATGTTTTGTATGTAAGTTTATGCTGGAAATCCTCACCTGAGTTTAGTGGTAAACAGTTGTTAAATGGGTGAGTGTGTTTTGACTAAATGACGGATATGGTTGTGATTAGTGAAACATGTTCAGTTTCAGGCTTATGTAGACCATTTAACCAGGATAAACTACTTACCAACGTGATGTTTATGATGATTCATAGATTTTGCTGAAGTCCATTAAACCCTTGAACTGAAGGAGACAAGTGATTCCGCATAAACCTACTAGTTAAGTTGATCCCGATAGTTTGCTGAAGTCCATGAGTTTGAGAGGCGAGAGGACAACTAGAGATGCTAATATGCTTGATGTTAGTGACAAAATCTCATAATTGCTTTCATTACCAAGAATCTTCACGTTTTTTAGTCATGATAACCTTCCATCAAACCCTGCTGGAAAGAAACTAAGGGACGTCTAGATGTGATTTCCACTTCCAAGTAGTATAGAAGAGTAGTAGTGATTGGAGAAGTTGAATGAATCAGGAGCGGTCGGTAGTGTTGTTCCTAGGTAGGTAATGCATGTTAGTTCCCTGAAAGGCAGAAACATGGAGTCATTCTTACAGTTGGAGTATCTAGGCTTTTTTATCTAATGGTTGTTCAATCATGTTTGAGGATGTTTGATGGTCATCTCCAAAACTCAAATCAATTGTATTGTGCTGCTAGGGATGCAATACTTTTCTATGAGTAGCCTATCAATTTGTAAGCTTGGTAATGACGGTTCATATGATGTTTTTGTAATCTTTGACAAGTGGTAAGGGTAGTGTTTATCCTTGAAGGTTTGTTTGAAATAGAGAGGCTAGGCGATAAAGTGAACACAGTGCAACCTGAATGGAAGGTGTGCATCTCTATACAATATATCAGGATTACATTATTGTTTTAAAGTGAAGTTATAAGTGAATTTGGTATGCAGGATCAGAAGAACTCTCTTTAGCTCATGGAGATGATATTCAGAATGACATACTTACTGAGAATGTTGATACAGCTGCCCAAAGTCAAAGTACTGGTCATTCCTGTGAAAATACGGGGATGTCGCTCTTGAACGTTAATGTTCCTGGAAACATAGAGGATTGGGGGTTTCATGATTTGAAGGAGGTAACATTTGATTCTGTTGATGAAGCTGAAAACTTTTACAACAATTACAGCAAGTATATGGGGTTTGGTGTCAGAAAAAGGGACAGAAAGGTTAACAAATATGGGAAATGGACATCACGAAAATGGGTTTGTTGTAAAGGAGTCAGAACTGAAGAAAATGTGAATAGAGAAAATAGGAAGAGGGAAGCAAAGGCGGTGACTAGATTCAGATGTCTTGCTTCGTTCAAGGTGAAATTTGATAAAAAAGATGGGAAGTACAAGGTAGAGGAGTTTGTTTCCGAGCATAATCATGATAGAGTTGGACCTGAACAAGTGCAGTTCTTAAGGTCTCATCGGTCACTGAAGGAGGGTGATAAGGCACAAGTAGAGTCACTGCGAGGGGTGGGTGTGAAACCGAGCCAGATAATGGATTTGAGGGTAAATGAAGTAGGTGGCTATGACAACGTCGGTTTTACTCTCAAGGATTTGTACAATTTCGTGGATGGAGGTAAGAATTTTGAAGTGCATAGTGATGCAGAGTCTGCATTAGCATACTTACGTGCTAAGTATGAAATTGATTCAGAACTCTTTTGCAAGTTCACACTCGATGAGGATAACAGACTAAAACATTTGTTTTGGGCCGACTCCACCTTCCGGTTTGATTACGCTTGCTTTGGTGATGTGTTAGTGTTTGATTCAACTTATAAGACAAACGCATACAAGATGCCTCTTGTCGTATTTGTTGGGGTGAATCACCATCACGCAACTACAGTGTTTGGGTGTGCTTTGTTACCCAACGAAACTGTAGAGAGCTACAATTGGGTAATTAAAACTTTTCTCTTCTCTTGTGTATGAAAGGTAAGCACCCAAGTGTTGTGATTACTGATGGGTGTATGTCAATGAAGAGGGCCATTAAGGAGTTAATCCCTGGTGCTGCTCATAGGATTTGTTGCTGGCACTTGAGAAGGAATGCAGAATTGAATGTTAGTCCAAAGCAGTTTCTGAAAGTATTTGACAGATTGTTAAAACGGATTGACTCGGTTGATGAATTTGAGGAGGTATGGAGGAAAGGTATGGAAGAGTTCCAGTTAGGCAGCAATGAATGGTTGTCTGAATTGTATGAGAAGCGACATAAATGGGCTCAAGCATTTTTCTCTGGCACGTTCACTGCTGGAATGAAGAGTTCACAACGCGTTGAAGGGATGAACTCTTATTTGAATCGTTTTTTGGATAGGAAATTGAAATTGTATGAGTTATTCCTACAAGTCGATAGAGGTCTACGAAGGTTGAGAAACAAGGAGGCAAAGGAGGATTTTGTGAGTGTTGATACCTTCCCTGTGTGTGATACACATCTTCGGAGTATTGAGGAACATTTTGGTAGAATTTATACTCGCAAAATGTTCTTTAAAGTGCGGAAGATGATTAAGGAGGAGCCATTGCTATATTGTGTGTCGACTAGGGTGAATGGGGAGAAGCACATTTATGAGGTGAGCAAATATTCGAACATTAATGCTTCTTGGATTGTGGTTTACTACCAAGCAAATAGGAGAATCGAGCGTTCTTGTCAGCTTCTCGAGAGCAAAGGCATTCCATGCAGTCATTGTTTTTTTGTGATGAAAGTTAATAACATGTAAGTTGTTCCATCTTCTTTGGTGGTGAAACGATGGTCCAAGGATGCTAAGAAAGAGTGTCATGTGCAATCAGACCACCCAGAGCTGCAAAATGAAGAGTTACATGCTATGGTGAGATCTGGTAATCTAAATGGAAGCTTTGGCAAGCTGTGTCGGTATGCATAAAAAACGGAGGAAGGATACAAGCTGGTGAAGCAGGAAATCAAAAGGTTGAGTGTGTTGGCCGAGGAAATTTGGCGAAAGAATGGCGGATTATGGAGAAAACAGCAGAAAGAACACCAAGTATTAGGATTAAAGATCCCCATGTTGTGAAAACAAAAGGACGTAAGAGTGAATCATCAACCCAGCCAACCAAAAGACGTTGTAGTCACTGCACTAATGAAGGACATGATGTTCGCACATGTCCACAAAAAGATCATGGAGATACAGGTATGGAACTACATCTATTTAGTTTCATTTTGTTACGACTAGACTGTTTCTACTTATGAAGTAAATCACCCGATTTTTTGTTAATGTGCAGGAGCTCATGCGTCTACAAGCTGAGAATATTAGAGTTCATATGATCAGCAAGTTAGTGATCAATAGGTATGTTCTTAGATTTTATTGTAAAGCAGTGAAAAACTTATCTCTGTATATGTATGTGGCTGGAGATCTTGATTGAAACTTTTGTTAGTATATAGCGTAAAACACCTGATATAATCTCTTTATACAGGTCAAGATTACCAAGCTTGGTAAAGAAACAATGCGAGATTGGTGGGATCATTAGGAAATTGATTCTGCATTGACTAGTGGCAGATGGGTTAATGGAATAGGTGGATTCCTGTTGTTGTAAGGTAAAGGAAGGTATATCTGCTTCATTTTTAGTTTAGCACTTGGAGCTACTGAACAAACATATATAGAACAGGCAGCCAAGTGATTTTGGGATACTGAAGGGCTACGATCTTAGCATGATACAATGTAGTATGCTTGCTCACAAGGAAGTATGGTTGCTTGCTCGCAAAATTGGTCAAGCAAATTACTCATGGCTGATTTTGTGGTGTTTTCCTAGTGTGTTAAGTTTCTTAACTTTAGACTAGCTTTATGGGAGGAGCACTTGGGTCTTGTCATCGTTGCCGTTATCATTTGATTTTTGTAGTTGTTTTCTTATTGCATATGATATAATCTCATTTTGCAGGTCAAGATGTTGAAGCTTGTTTGATGGCGGCGAGACTGGAGGAAGTTAAACAGTAGGTGAAGGAAAGACTTGGGATTGGAGGCAGCATCGGAATACTGTTACATTAATGTTTTCAGTAGTTGGTTGTTGAAGTAAGCTAGGTTCTTGCCTCGGAATGTAAACTCCAACACACTCGATCATGAGAATGAATACCTCAACATTAGATGGAATGAGTTTGATTTATTGAATGACAAGCTTTGTTCAAGGTTCATTTCCACAGATTTGTGTTCATTATTCAGTTTGAGATCTAGTCATTTGATTCCTCAGTGCTGACTTTTATTACTGGTCATTTAGTATGCTGTTAAGATTCTCTGTTATGCATGTATGTTAAGTCCTTATATGGATGGTTCTTTTTCCCCATTTTGGATCGTCAAACTGAAATGTTCTTTAGGATGGAGTTCAATGTTGCTTTCTCTGCAGAATTTGCAGCTTTAACATGGCTGATGAGTTGTTGGTGCACTCCTAGAACCGAAGGATTCCTATCACATTCAATGCGATTTTACGTTTTAAGATGATGTCTGTATAAAAATAAAAGAGATTGCTTTCATTATGAATGGCAGGCGACCAGCCTAGTGGTTTAAGACTCTGACTTAATTGACAATTGAGAATATTTACATGCATAAGGTAGTGGCTTCAATCCTCCTTGCACACTCTTTTTTTTTTCTTTATGCAAATTTGGCGTGGAGATGGTGTGGTAGTGTCTTACATCTAAAACTACATGATTTAGAGCATCTGCAGCAACCTCAAACAAACACGGGACAGAAATGCAGAAAACTCTGCATGTTAGCGCCACCTGTTAGCGCCAAGAGATTGAAAGTCCACTACTTTGCATGCGGTTTATTCCAATTTTACATGTTTCCATTCTAATGTTCGTCTTGACGACACAACTTCTTCGCCAAAAGGTTTCCACACACCTAGTCACTCGAACCCTAGGTGATCCTTCACAAACAGTCTTCCTGAGATGAAACATCAACAGCAATTCCTTTGGCTTTCAGCACCAGGGAACGTAATACCGCCTCAACTTGGAGTTCCTAAGTCCTCTTCAGTAGAATGCAAGTGAAAGCTCAGCAGCATAAAGGAAAGAAGAAGGTTATGTGCATTCATAATCTTTCCTAGGCAAAAAACTTCTTGCCCTCATCTCAGTACATCATGCCTTCATCGTGGAGCACTAACCGGCCAACGCAGATCACTCTCGAGCCACTGATGGGAGTAAAGCTCTCCCCGACCAGGAAACCAAGGCACGGTTGCCGTATCAATTTACCTAGGTACACAATGAAACTCAATCAGGTAAAACAAAAGATAAGCGAAGGAAAGGATGGAATCTGATTGCGAGAAGCAGCCTTGCACTAAGGACGTTCTTATAACTATATTGACTATCGTTTGCTAATTTGTACTGGATTCACCTGGTATTTGAACTTTGAGGAGTCATTATAACTACTAAGCTAGCAGTACATAGTTGTAAGCAGTAGCTTAGATTTGGGCAACAAAATTTATATCTTGTAGAATTTGCAGCTTTAACATGGCTTATGAGCAGTTGGTAAAAACTAATCAAACTCTTCGTTTCACAATAGCCAAACTCCAGAACAATGAGACAAGCCATAACAATTGATAAAGTAGACAACCATTAAACTGAAACCTTTATAAACTTCACTAATTCAAAATTTCAAGAACTTGATGTCGGTCATGTGGGTGGGGTGGGGGGACTTGTCCTTTTCAACTTGCAAACTAAGAAATGCAACATAAAAAAAAAACTACAGATGTTCTTTGAGAGCTTTTCCACTGGTCATAGAGCTTCATGGTCAAATACCAATCAAGTAGAAATATGAATGAAATAGTAGACCGGGGAATTGCTTATCCAGTGAAGAAGTCGACCAGAACTAAGAAGCAAACAGACCGGCGGTTCAAATGAAACGGAAATCGAAACTTAGGGTTTCAATGATTTCACTACTGAAATCAAGTAATAATCGATCGATTAATGAGACTGAAATTGAGAAGAGCAAAGTAGGGTTCGATTCTTCCAATTGGGAATTCAAACTCAAGAATCTGGTTCGCCGAGAAAATCGAACTAAACACAGAACAAGAGACAACTCAAGGGATTACCTAAATTGAGAGTCTCGCACGTCTTGTTCGTAGTACACTGCAGTCTGCTGGTTTTTGTTTGGTATGGTGTCCCATTTATTCACAACTATCAGGCAGCCTTTACCTTCCTTCTCAATTCTTTCAGCTATTTTAAAATCCTAAATTTGTCACAGAATGGAGCCAGAGTTGGGATATGAACATGAAAAGGAGAGGTGTAACAAATGGTGTGATGCAAAGAGTAAGTTACCTGCTCTGTGATGCATGCCATGGCCTCAATGACAAGAGCAACAACATCAGAACGCCGAATGGCTCGAAATGCTCGGTTCACTGATAATGCCTCTGTGGTGCTACCTGCAGAAGCCACGACGGCCCTTTTCCTGATTCCAGCTGTATCGATGAGTCGGAACTTCTGCAAAAACAGTGAACTTAGGGATGTCAAATCACCCATGTCCTGAACTGAAACACAAAGAAGAGCACAAGGTAGAATGAAAGTTAATTATTGTTCCTATCTTCTGCTTCCCTAACAAAGCATATTATGATAAAACAAACCTGGCCATCAGGTCTTGTAAATTCCGTATCAATGGCATCACGTGTAGTTCCACTGATGGGGCTAACTATAGTTCTATCCTCACCACCCAATGCATTTAGAATGCTGCTTTTCCCAGCATTTGGCCGGGCAACGATTGAAATTGCTGGAACGTAATCTTCATCTTGTTCTTCATGGAGATCTTCTGAAACCTGCGAAATGGTTTTATCATATTTATAGTAAACAAAGATAGGAATGAGTTTTGGTGCAATGCTTGAATGGTAGTCCATTAGTACTTAGCACTAGAAGAAAGATTTATGGAAATTATAGAATGGTAACCTCTACTTTAGCTAGTCCAGAACACACAAGGTCAAGGAGCTCCCCAGTTCCAGTTCCAGATAAAGCCGAACTTTTCAATAGAACACAATTGAAGTATCAAAACCCAGCAAGCTGGAAGTGAGAAAAAGGCCAAAATGAAGAACTGAACCTCTTTAACTGTGAGCTTCTGCCTCCTCTGCTTCTTAGATTCCTTTATGGTATCAGCCTCATCGTCTGCAAACAAAAATCAGCGACAAACAATGAGCAAACTTCATAATATTTCCCAAAACCTAAATCAGAAACCCACGAAAGAACTCACCGATTATCAATTCACGGGATAAGGACGACGAGTACTCCCTAACTGCAACTTTAGCTTCCTGTTCGAACTCATCGACGTCAAACTCGTAATCCTCTCCATCAGACATCAAATTCCAGGTCCACCTCAGTGTCTGCTTCAGCTATTTCTTCTTGGTCATCATCTAGGGAGGATTTGCACGAAATTAACCCAGGAAGCGGAGATGAAGAGTGAAGGAGTTGCAGGGGAACGTAGGAAGCTTTGGCATGGGAAACGAAGGGAATCGAAAGCTTGCAAAGGGAAGGAAACGACGCAGCAACGGCGAAGTAGACTTCTGTAATGCAATTGGGGTAGCGGGGGTGGTTTTGGGGAGTCTTCGCCATCCTTGCCGGTCGCCCTAGGAGTCTTCGCCGTCGTCGCCGCAACTGCCTTCCGATGCGCCGCTCGACCTAGTGATTCCTCGCGGCGGCTGGGAGTGTTACTCGGCCTACCTCGTCGACGCTGCCATCGCACTAATCCCATACCTAATTCTGCTTTGCTCCGCCCCAATCTCCACTAGTGAAATTCTCTCTTCGGTTCACGAAGTTGCAGAGACGACGAGAGGTTCTTTTCTCTCTTCTGTGTCCTCAATCGGCGAGGCGGAAGGCATGGCGGCGGCGATGGGACGGACCGAGCGGTTTCTTATTCCTCCTCACCATCGCTCGCCATCAGCAGAGACGAGTGAACCCTGTCGGCGCACCGAGCAAGCATGGCGGCGGGATTCTGATCTGCATCCTCGATTGACCTTCCGAGCAAGCATGGCGACGGGGCGAGATTCTAATCTGTCTTCTGCATCCTTGATCGAAGAATGGATTTTGCCGGTGTGGTTGGGGCGTTCCATTGTAAAACTAGGGATTAGGTCGATTAGCTGATTACTTGGCATAGCAAAATTAAGGCGCCAGAATGTTGGAGCCAAAACATCGGTCTCACAATACAAATTTGAAACAAATTATTAATGCCAAATGATAAATACCCCCAATTATGAAAAGGAAAATCAAAATTTCTAATCAAATTATTAATCTATCCATAATAGAACAAAACCAGATTTGTTGATCTCAAAGTGTTCAAAATAAGCCAACACAGAATCCATCATCGTAAACTGAAATCAACTCATCGAAGCCAAAAGAGATTGATGGAAAGACAACATAAGAGGACTAGTGATTAGCAATACTTCACTTCTTTCCTTTGCGTCCTTTCGAAGCCCTTGGTTTGCCCTTGGTTTGTGCAGCCTTTTTAGTCGCGGCATGTTTTTTTGCCGCTTCCTCGATCTCGTCCTTCTTCTTGTTGAACTCCCACTTCACCAATTCAAGTGCTAAATTCAGTCGTTCGTCTTCACTGTGGAACTATAAGTTCAAATAGTCAATTAGATTGCACCACAAATTTCTCTAACGATGATTAACCGAATGGTTTCTTAAATGATAGCTACCTCTTTTCTCATATCTCTTGCCGCCTTGTCTAGCGATGTTGCACCTTTCATCAACTTCACAACAAACATACCAGAATCATCGCTGTCCAATGAAAAATGGCATTATAGATTGTAGTTATTATCACTATCGTTGTAGCGTGAAACCGAATCATTATATGAAGCACACGATGGTAACTCACTCATTGGATTGTTGAGGGGCCTCCGCTACAAACTGAATGGGAAAGCGTTGAAATGGGTGATCATCATCAAGAATACCACTAAAGTCCTTACCAAATAGAACGTCCAACATTGTTACCTGTAATTGTTAAAAAATGTGTGTTAAAATATTTAGGTTGGTATTTCTGCGAAGACTAAGTAATAAGCGATGCGAACGAGAAGCGACAGCTCACAATTTCTTTTGCTTTAGCCTCCAGATCGGGGGCATTTGTATGTGTTTGGTATGAATCCCAAATTGCTACTTCACGATTTTTTTTATATCAACGACCATAAGGGCAAAGTGAAGGGCCAAGTAGATTGGTACGAAAATCTGAGAAGAACAAAAAGTAAAAGTAAGGTAAAATGACTATTTTGCACATGGTTTGAAGGGACTTTCATAAAACAAAAATCAACATTCAAATGCGACCATACCCGCTCAGAGTCTCTGATCCTTGAACAATATTCCGATACCAGCTTTTGAGAAGTCATATACTTGAAAAACTCCGTCTGGGTGTCTCCAGACTTCATCTACAACAAATAAGCACATTAATACATAGAATATTATGAAATCAATAGAAGCAAGTCCATGTATACGAATGAGGCTTGTGGATTACCCCAACTATAGTCGGTAGGAATGTGTTTGTAGGAACAGCCTTTTTAGACTCCTCGATAGTAAGCTTTCCCACAACTCCATCAATGACCTTTTACACAATTTCGAAACACAACGTAAAGTTTAAATATGAAACGTGTACTTAATTCATAGCAACATATATCAAACTTTGTTAAACGAAACCATGATGCAATACTTACCCCGAACTCGATCTTTTGGGTGGGAGCTAATGACCTTAGGTCAACACATATAATATACACGGTTGTACTAGATACCACAACATCACTATAACAAACAAATGTTAGTGTATGTGAAAACAAAGAATTCAACAATGATATTAGAAATAGAGTTAGGTATAGATTTTAACCAGTCATTCATGTCAGCTTCGAACAGATACTTGATCAGCGAAAGGTCTTCAATTGAGGCAGGACGACCCACTTTAAACGGACCAACCAAAAAAACTTTCCTCTTTTTTTCATTTTCATATGGAGATTTTACCCACTTGCTTGGTTTGCGCTCTGCATCAGCACGCAACTCTCGAGCTGATGAGTACACATCATTAAGATTAAATTCTCTACCTTCCTCTTGAATCTGTCAAATAATACTACATCAATTTATAGTGTCCACGAACCCATTATTTGTCTAAATATCAGATTACTAAACGTAAACGCATATATATCAAATCGAAACAAAAAAGTCAACCTACCTCCACTGACGGACTCTCATTACCAACTGATTCCATAGACATGACATGTTCTGCATCCTGACCAAGACTTCTTCTATGTGTTTTCATGAATGTTAACAAATCTTCTTGCAGGTCCTTTACGGTATCCAGTTGTAGTTCCACCAATTTCATACGTCTGTCAAAACTCACCATGATTTTTTTGATGGCTTGGACAGACTCCAAGACACCAGCAATATCAGCACTTTGATCCTTTTTGTTTTCCATCTTCCTAATTGTCATAAAAAACACCACATTATAAAAGGTTAAACCCACATTAAAATAATTAATTATATATATTTATGAATAATAATTTATTATGTATCACTTAAACAAACAAATGACATATCTTATTCGTAATGATTAACCACGGAGAATAAAATGATTATGTACTTTATTATGTCAACCTTATGATATATATTATTCGTAATAGTTTACATACTATCCATTTAATAAAAAATATTTCATTATATTATACTAGCTTTTCCGTGCACATCTAACTAGCATACGTATACAATATGATTATTGGATGAACTCTACTTTACTTCATCGGATCAATTAACTATTATTTTTTAGTTTATTTAGGTTTCGTGGTTATATAACTATAGTTTAGGATTCCCCCATTAAAATTAGAGCATTGTACTATAGTCGAATTTCTCAATTAATAAATTATTTAATTAGCATCACTTTTTTTAACCGTGGACATGGTACACACTAAATTCATTAGTCATAACATAATTTGAATCCAAAATATAAATAGTTTATTTTGTTCTCTGTTATTTGGGGCTGGATTTCCAAAAAAAAAAATTGCCGTTTACTTTCCGTTACTAATGGAAAGCAAAATCAAAAGATTTGCCGTTTACTTTCCGGCGCTGCTCATCCCTCCATTGCCGTCACGGACTCACGGTGAGACCTCGTCAAAATCACAAGATTTCTTTCTTCGCTTTTCTTCTCGCTTCTTCGACTCAGACCAAGAGCAAGCTGATCTATTCTACTCCATTTTTTCTGCCGCCCAAAAGTACCTTCTTCTCTGGCCAATCTAAGATCGTATTTTACTCCCTCAGAAGAACTCTCCAACACTAATCTACTCAATTGGCCGACTCGAAAGCCGAGCATGCATCACTAGCGAAGAATGTCGATAGGACAGTCGATGGGGTGTCGTTGCTATAAAGATCTCCGCAGGCAGATCGCGCTCCAAAAATTTTCATAATGAATTCTAGGGTTCTTCGATACAGAGGTTACCCACAAAAAAATTCCCATAATGCGGAGTTTGACGATCTGAAATTACAAAATCACAATGCTGCGAGTGGCAAAAGAACAGAATGTAGCCTTGGAAGCAATTAGCAGGGTGTTGGAGGATTTGAACAATTTCAGCGGAAAAAACAGGTATTCTTACTAGTTCTTCTTTGTTCGTTTTAATTCTAAGATACGACTGTATCACCATTACTGGTGTTTGATTCTGTATGTTTGCTGAACCAATTACTAAAGCTTGTTGGGAGATTCTCAGTTCATACCCAATTGGCTACTTTGGTGTTTGATTCTCATTGATGAACCAATGTCTGCAGTGTATGAAGGAATCACTATTTTGTCTATGTGCTAGTGCATTATAGGAACAGGGTTTCTTGATTAGCTTAGTAGACGGATTTGCACATGAAAATAACACTAGTAAGTTCATATAGAAATTGCTGTTGAGATTGAACACATACCTTAGCTCTCCACCCAGCACGTCGATTCTGCCAAACAATAGCTGCCAATCATCCAACATATGCCCTCATAACTTTATCTGTAATACCAAACTGTGGAAATAGCATAGAAAAAAAAAGAAAGGAAGCTAACTATTACCTGCGACTCCAGAACCCCTACACCCTTACACGAAAACTCACAGCCATAAAAGAGTTACGTGTGTTTATAGTCCACAGTAACAAGAGAGTTTGATATGAATTCAAATGCTTGAATTATCTATTATTAATCATAAATATAATTTATTCATGTTTTGTAGATGATTATCTCTTGAAGTATATCCTTGAATAAATAAGATAGTTTCCTCTAGTGAATGACATTGTGCTTAATATTTTTTAAATCCGGGTTGTTATGATCTACCTGATCTCACCTTCACATTGTCCCGGTTGCTCTCTGCCTCCAACGGACTGCTTCACTGTTACCATACCAAACCCAAGCCAAACTCCACTGTTACCATACCAAACCCAAGCCAAAGCAAAAAGAATTGCCCTTCTCCTTTCATTCGGTGTTGCATGTAATTGTAGCAGTTAGTAATCTTCTTGGGAAGTGATTGATTGTGCATTTCTAGGTTGTCTGCTTGTGAACTAAACCACCCTGATGTTTGCTGCTAAGTGTCAAATGACTTGGAACTGTAGTTTGAGTTTTGTGGTTTCCGTTGTTGGTTGGTAACCAATACCACTTGGTCATTTGATTTTGTGATCCTTGTAGTTTCGCCCAAGATTGGAAGGAGAATGCAGCATTTATTTGGTTCCAAGACTGTTATTGAGGTCTATTTTAGTTTCACTATCTAAACCCAAAGCTAGGGACCAATTGGAGCTCAGCTCGTATGTATATGATTACGTGCTCATTTATCGGTCTTGTACCTTCCAAAACCTGCTGCTTTTGTATTAGGCTACTAGCATTCACAAGTGAGGTGGTTTGGTGGACCAGTGAACTGTGAAAGGGTCTAACTTGTGAATAAACCTAAGACTATGTAGATATTTTTTTTTAAGCTTACATGACTGATGACACTACTGATCCTTTTCACTTGCACTTACCATAACTAATGCCGTTGAATACTGGTATTTTCATAATAGTGTTTGAAGATCTGCACAAGACTGGAACCTATAAATGGGCCTCTCTCTCTCACCTTGGGAGCAATAAGTTCTCTCTCAGCAAAGACTACATCAGGACACTGAAGAGGCATGGACTTAACCGCGATCCTGCAACGACTACAAACGCTTCCAGGTAATTCAACGTTAGTAGATGGAGCAACTAGGACTATGATTCCGTCATTATTCTCTTGCATTGGCTGTAATTGTTTGTTGCCTCTTAATTGGTAACTTAGCGATGCTGCAATGGGAGCATTGTTTGTTCGTTATTCTCTACTCAATTGATCTTTCTTTATTCTCGAGCTGCAGAGGATTGTTGCTCTGTCAAGAGAAGGAATTTGAGTACCATAGGGGACCGCAAACTACCATGGATATTGGAGTCATGTGTAGCTGGCTAGCTGCATTTTTCATGGCAACCTGTAGATGTGAAATATAAAGGTATAGAAGTTTTAAAAACAATGGATGTTGATGGAGCATGGGGTTCATGGGTTTGATTCTATTCGCCTCTTGGCAGAACCTTGTATTTAAGTTATTATCTTTAGAGGACTACTTTTCCATAGAGGTCGTTCCTTAAATAATTTGCTCCATGGTGCGTAGTTCTTGAGAGGAAAGATTCATGAATCATGATAGTTCATTTGTTATCTTTATCTCTATGTTGTTACTTGTAGTTTTAAGTTATTATCTTTAGAGGACTACTTTTCCATAGAGGTCGTTCCTTAAATAATTTGCTCCATGGTGCGTAGTTCTTGAGAGGAAAGATTCATGAATCATGATAGTTCATTTGTTATCTTTATCTCTATGTTGTTACTTGTTAGCTTACACAGTACAGAAAATTGAAGTTGTGTAAAATGTTATGTCTAATCTATTTTGAAGTAGTGTTGTGAAATTGGATATGTTTTGCAGCAGTGGTGTTGGCTGTTGAAAAGCAGTGGAACTCTTTATCTCCGGATGTCTGTGGCTGGAGAGCCTAATTGAAACTTCTGTCAGTATAAAGCCTAAAACACCTCGTAATCTATTTTAGCAGGTCAAGATGATCAAGCTTGTTTGCTGGTGGAGAGAGAGGAGGAAGTTAAACAGAGGGTTCAGGAAACAATGAGGGATTGGTGGTAGCATTGGGAGAGTGATTGTGCATAGACTAGTGGCAGCTGGGTTAGGGGACCTAAGGCTGTATGACATTGATGTTTTGCATAATTGGTTGATAAACTGAGTTAGTTTCTTCCATCGGAATGTAAAATCCTATAGCGTCGATAATGAGAATGAATATTTGGTCAGCTAGATCTCATTACTGTTGACATTGAATTGCACATGAATGAATTGGTACTTGTACCCACAGGCATTGAATTGCACAGGAATGAAGTCTGTAGGACACTTGTCCCGCAACAAGCCTTCCAATTTTAGAACAATGAGAGCTCAAACTCTAGCTCATCCTCTTTGTCATTCATCACAATATTAAATGACATTAAATAGAGAAGATAATAAGGCTTAAACTGGATTTTCTACAGCAATTAGAAAACCCAGAATGTTAACTAGCATAAGCTAACTGATTCAATAAACAACCACTCTATTCATGCTGTCTGTCAATTAGCAACTAAACTACTTAAAATACAACAGTGTTTTCCTATGCGTGTTTGACATTCAAGCATCCGCCTTTTATTGTTGTCCTGCTGCTACTGTTTCCTTCCCGCTAAAGTTGTTGCAGTTGCTACTTCCCTTTACTCAAAATAGCAACTTGGTTGAGTTACCAGCTTTCTTTCTAGCTTCATGAATAAATGTTCCAAGTTATCACCACCATTTACAAACAAAAAAGTGGTGAAATAAAGGGAACCATTTCTAGAATATGCAAGGATGACGATAAATATAGTTCTCCAAACAACAAGATATAAGAAGCTAGATCTTTATGCCAAGTAATAACGACTAACCTTGATAGGTTGCTTCATACAGAAGTATTGCATCCCTAGCAGCAGAGTAAAATGTGAGTTTGAGTTTTGGAGATGACCAGCAAACAACCTCAAACATTATTGAAGAATAATTAGATAAAAAGCCTCGATACTCTGACTGCAAGAAATCTATGCAAAGAACACTAACTACCTACATAACACAAGCCATATATGCAAATTCATACCAGGGAATGCATTAACTGTCTACATAACATTGAGTGAGACTTGGTAGAAGATCAGCAGAAATCCAGAACATCACTGTGCAAGTATAGAATGCTCTGGGAACTACAAATCAACATCGAAAAGCTTACCTGGGCTTCACAAGATGCACTATGATGAATCATACTATAAAGAACAAGCATAACCCCCCAACTACAAGGTAAGCAATGCCAAGAAAGTAATTCATCCCACCTAGCCAGCATGTTTTGAAAGCACAAGTCTCTTCTTCCCATTGAAACTATAGGTGGTCCTGTGATAACTACGGTAGCCTGTTAGTTTTGGAGATACAAGCCAATTTTGATGCATCATCGGGAACAACCTGAAAGAAAATTACAAAGAGCTTGTGACTATCAAAACAAATAAACCAAACATAAAAAAGTCACAGTTTCCATTTGCAGGAAATGGAAAGGAAAAGAAAGGAAAAACCAATGCAGAAAATTTTCTCTTACTCCCAAGATCATCGCCAACTAGCAGGACATGATTAACATCGTATAGACTGCGTATTTGCATTATTAGTGCCCAATATTTTACTCTGACATATATGGGAGGACTATATGTGTTCTGGATGTTTAGTTTGAGCCATAAAAGAATATAAGTCCTCCAGGATCCGTTCAAACAGCAAAGATGGAGGAACCCTCTGATTTGGACAGTGAGAGACTTAAGAGGCCATGAAATTGTCGACTTTGGATCATTGTGGTGGCAGTTTGGTTTCTGCTCATGATCTGAAGGAAACAACATCAGATTATTCCACTAGTACAGATGAAATGGTGGGCTCGTGCAGCTTTAACAGCCATGCTTCTTCAGATGTAATCCAGTCTGATAATAAAAACGTCTTCAGCAATATTGAAGGTTTGGCATTGCAAACTGGAATTCTCGATGCTGAGGAAGAAGTATGCATTGATCATAACATTGAGGCTGTATCTACTGTCCGCGTGAGGGAGTCCATGGATGCATCCCAGAGCTCCAGTAGCAGCAGAATAATCTCCATGGTGGTAACATCTGCACCAAGCACCGCAAGAACAAGAGAAGCAAATAAGAGACCAGCCGACTCAAACATTTCCAGGAAAACTATCCCAACAAAGTTACTGCATAAAAAAAAAGTTACTGCATAAATCATCACAAAGCCTCCAACAAGTTAATAATTTTTAACAACCATATTAAAATATAAATTCTTGATATTGCCTTGTGCCAATCACTGCCAAATAATCCTTAACAGCACCCATGCCCCTCCTGATTATTAATTTTCAATTGACAAAAAGACAATGCTAACGTAACTACTCAGTTGAGTGAGAAAAGACGACTCCAATAAATCTTACAAATTAGATTGCTCTTATCAAATGCTTACATATAGACGATCTAAATAGATTATGCATCTGTAAATGATTTATAATGAGCACAAAAATAATGACTGGGCTACAAGGGCACACAGGGGAGGTAGTTTGGTGGACCAGTGAACTGTGAAAGGGTCTAACTTGTGAATAAACCTAAGACTATGTAGATATTCTTTTTTTAAGCTTACATGACTGATGACACTACTGATCCTTTTCACTTGCACTTACCATAACTAATGCCGTTAAATACTGGTATTTTCATTATAGTGTTTGAAGATCTGCACAAGACTGGAACCTATAAATGGGCCTCTTTCTCTCACCAAGGGAGCACTAAGTTCTCTCTCAGCAAAGACTACATCAGGACACTAAAGAGGCATGGACTTAACCGCGATCCTGCAAGTAAAAGCTTTACTGGCTGTTTATCATCACCATCATCATCCTAGGGTGACTTCTGATTCTTTGGAATATGGAGCAACTCTCTCCAAACTTGGTCAATGAACTGAAAGTTGTGGACTTTTGAGGTTATTCTCACCTATCAGCACCAACTTGACAGCATTGCTTGTAACTTTCAAACCCACTAAATGGTTCTGTATCGAATGATACAAAATGATACACATTAATCACTAATACTAAGCTAACAATCTGAACTCCTTTCTTAGGGTACATTCTCATAAAGGCAATGATAGAGATCTATAAACTATGATATATTGGGTTTTGAATTATGTAGGGAAATAAGATACAATAATCTAGTGCTTTTCTGTTCAAACTTCAAACAAGCCTCGAAATTCAGTTCTTATGGATAAATGACTTGCTGCAATTTCACTAATGAAGATTGAAAGACCAATTACCAAAACCAAACCAAACAACATTATCACGTACTGGAATCAGAATCTGAAAAACACCAACCAGAAAGGGGAATAGCATACAGGCAAAACTGAGAAGTTGTTAGCCAACAGAAGATAAAGGAGGAAAGAACAGCACATAAGCAGAACAGGGACACAGCAACCAATTCCCTGCTGCCCGGTTAACACAAGGAAAGCGAAAAATATTGCAAAACAAGGCTCCATTGCAGAATCCATGACATTACAGTTCAGAGGCAAAATGAAACTTAGCCAAATTCGGCAACAAAACGAATCGAATCATTGTTTTAGTACCCCAAAACACAAATGAATCGAATAACCAGGAGCGTTCGGATTCGTTAGGCAAAGTCACTAGACACTCAGGTTTCAAAAATTCCAACAGGAGGGTGCATACCGAGGAGACAGGGCAGAGTGAGGAACTCGTCCCTTACGCGCGCGAGGGATTGTCGGTGTCGGCAGAGCAGCTCGACGCATACAGAGGGCGTCCCTGTACTAGGGAATCGTCAGTTTTTGTTTCACAGAATGAATGCCGAAGGAGGAATACGGTGAAGGAGTTTATTGGAGGAGATGAAGTTCCGATCGGAGTGGGTGGAGTTCGCCGGAGTAGTTTCGACCGAGAGAAGGAGATCGACTGCTCGACTTTCCCTTCGTTGCGTTTCCTTGGTTTTTGGAGAAAAAAAATAAAATTAAACAAAATAATATGCGAAAAACGTTGGGGAAAAAATTAACGGAAAGAATCCGTCTGTTTGGGTACGGCTTCGGTTCGGGCCAATTCCAATAGGTCAGTAGATTTTGGGCTCAAATTAAATAAACCAGTCAGGCCACGTCAGCGCCATGTGGCCCAATCAGAAACGACGTCACCGGTGCCGCAGTTTTTAGTGCAGCACCATAGTATTGGCCTTTCTTGCATGGATCAAACATTATTGTGCTAGAGTACTAGAGGAAGAGGTGTCACCCAATTTAGCAGTGGCCCATGGTTACTCTTGGGCTGTAGGCAAGCTACTAGATATACATGTTGGCAAAACAAGTATCTTTTCTCCCGCTTGGGCTAGTGGCCCGGTCGCACGGACGGACGCCCGAGCAGAGTGGAATTATCAAAGGAAGAAAGCTACGCATGCATGCAGGCGAAGGCCCGCATTGAGCAATTTAGTCAGAGACTGCATTGAGAGATATTTTAGGCCCGGCCCAAAATCGGTCCCAGCTAGCTCCAAATTGTTAGCTTGTTGAATTTTGACCATCTTGGTTAGGACGTTCATACTCAGTTCGAACCAAGGTTGCCCATTTTGACCCTGACCCGGTGAGAAAAACGAGTCGCACGCAGCCGCCGGGTCGACGCCACAAGGTACCGGGTTGGAGGTCAAATTGTGTCATTTTTTTGTTTTGCGAAATGCACCTATTTTCCGATTTTTCTTTTCGCCTAACTCAATCTTTGGAATCCTAAGTTGAAAATTTGAATATTAATGTTATATAAGTGTGTGTGAATTTTCACTATATGTTGAATCTAAGTATGAAATGTTATTTTGGTGTAATATTATATGTTATAAATCATATGGTAGATGAGATTTGATATAATTTATCAGGATAAGTACAATATAATGACACTTTCCATATTTTCGGGCTAAACCGGGCTAAAACGGGTGACCCATTAACCCTTGACCCACTAGCTAAACCGGGTCCGAGTCAACCCGCGGGTTGACAATCGAACATAGTTTGGAGAAGTGTGAACCCAAATAACTTCCGCATTAATTTCCAGAAGTCGAAGCAACTGATTTTATACTCTTGAGTAGAAATACAAGTTGGCAACCAAGATAGATGAGCCCAAGCAAGTACTTTCAGGCCCCTCTTGCTAGTTCATACAAACGTTTGATCATTAATTAGGTTAGATAGAAGTCCCTTCTCTATAATCACATACAAAAGGGTAGGGTGAGCAATAAGTATCCATTCCCTAGCTCCTTAATCTTCACAATTAGAGTCCTGAATTGCATGCTTTGAATTAATCTTACAAATGTCCAATGGACGACCGCAATTCATGGTCCAATTATAACCCTAATCGATTTTGGGAAGCTAATCAAAATTGAACGGACAAATTAAAGCAACATGACTTCTTGGATCTTTTGAGAATATTCACGATCGAGTGACCAACCAAACACCCTTTTTTCTGTTCTACGGCCCCAACATTTGGACGGCAAGTAAGCGGCCATTATTGATCTGATCATCACCCAAGCTTCGTGCCTTTGATTATGCGGTGAGGCGGGCTACCATTCAAAGTGATTGACTTCATAGCTTTAACCTTTTTGAACGTGGGGGGGGGGGGGGGGGGGGGGGGGGGGGGGGGGGGGGGGGGGAATTCATAACTCGATCGGAAGCTACAAGATTCCTCTTTGGTAGTTGGGTGGCTTTTGTTTTGCTTGGGAGAGGAACGGTGGCTATTGCTAGTCAATCGCATCTTTTATTTGATGAGTTGGTGCAAATAGTTAAAGTTATTTAGATAAATTGTTTCTATGAGTATTTGATTCAGATATCTCGTGGTTGAATTTTCTAAAACAAATAACATATGTTAGGAACTCATAACCGCAAACCGTGAACATCTACAGAATTCAGAACTCAGTGCTCGAGTTCTAGGGTTTGAATTCGTCAAACCTTATACAATATAAACTAAGCTTATAAAGACAATTAACCCTCCAACGTTACTCATGAAAACAAGGGGCATATATAACCTGCAGCCCATGATTACATAAATATATATCTTCAATCTACCGCTGTAATAAACGTTACGTACCATGACACAAATCATTTGATCCTATTACTTGAATTGTTTCCTTTTTCGGACCTTACAAGATCTCCATTGTGCAATGTACTATATATAGTAGCCACTAATTGTATACTTACCCAAGTTCAAAATCACATGCAATGCCCCAACTTTTGTTGGTGGGCAACTGGAATATTCTCAATTGAACCAATTCTCCTCTCTCGACTTGCTGCCGAAGGTTTGTACTGCATACGCTTTGTTTCCACTGTTTTCTGCTTTCCTGAAAGGAAAGCTTGTCTGTTGACAACAATACCCATAGGTAAGAGGTTTCACATGATTGTGTGGTGGGAGTTACGTTGATTGTTATACACTAGCTAGCTTAGGTAGTTCTGGACATTTCATCAGCGGCGAATCCAGAATAGGGTAGAGCACTGAGCTACATTTGAAAAATGGGCAAAAAGGATTGGGCCATAACCCGACGAGAACATAAACAAATATCTAAAACCAGAAATTTACAAAAACTATACTAGCTCCGAATCCAGAGGAGGGTTAGGCCGTGGGCCGGGACGGCCCCCTAAATCCGCTGCTGCTCCACATTGCAGTAGTTTAATTCAGCGGCCACCTAGCCTGTAGGATCAAGTTCAGTCAATGAGTTTTTAATTGAATAAGGGTTTGATCCAGTGATAGTATATGGTTTCACAAATACTTGAAACCAAAAAATGGAAAAAAAGGTAAAACTGATAAGAAGATATTTTCCAATATAATTAATGCACATCTCCCTCTCGAAAGTTAAGAGAAGGTGGCAATCCGATCTAACCCATATTTTCAGCAATGGGACTATGGGAGTAGTCAAAACTAAGGACCATCGGATAATATTATCGCCCACAACATTCAACATCGGATAATATTAGTTCTGTATGTGGATGGGTTGCTCCCTTAAATTACATGCATGCATGCTCCCACTATTTCCCCTCAGATATTTTCCATGTAAAAAAATTCACTCCAAAATGAAAAAAAAAAAAAAATATAATCTCACATGGTCAAAGTTTACTCCTCCTTCTGTCCTTTGTGTGGGCAAGGGAATTAATGGGCTAAGCTAAGTCTAGTAGGTTTGGAGTAAGACATCTCTATTGCTAAAGAGCAGAATTGTTAAAGTGAGGTGGTATCTTAAAGTGATAATTGTTAGGAATATTGGAGTGCTTCTTGCTAAATTGATAGGTTTGCTATATGAGCAAGTCTTCTATATTGATAATGGCGAATTTATTGATGAAAGCAGAACGAGAGGAAATACAAAGGAAAGGAGAAACAGAGGTTCAAGAGAACTGAACCAGTTTCCCCACAGAGTACAGACTAAACGAGAAGGGAAAAAGAAATAAACAAACAA